CCTTCTAGGAAGGTTTAGGTAGGTATATACAGTAGTAACTAACCATAGGAACTTAGCAAAGGTACGATTAGGCCTTTATTATAGGCGGATATTAGCTAGGGAGAAAAAGGGAGAAAAAGTTAGCATATGAGAAGTTTTTACAAAGTAGAAGTGATGCAAGGAGGGAAGAGTATATGGAGAAAAAGAGAGAGGTTAAGAGAGTGGTGAAGCAATGTAAAAAGAGAGCAAATGAGAGAGTGGGTGAGATGTTATCAACAAATTTTGTTGAAAATAAGAAAAAGTTTTGGAGTGAGATTAACAAGTTAAGGAAGCCTAGAGAACAAATGGATTCTCAGTTAAAAATAGGAGAAGAGAGTTATTAAATGGAGAGTTAGAGGTATTGGGAAGATGGAGGGAATATTTAGAAGAATTGTTAAATGTTGATGAAGATAGGGAAGCTGTGATTTCGTGTATAGGGCAAGGAGGAATAACATCTTGTAGGAGTGAGGAAGAGCCAGTTGTGAGTGTGGGGGAAGTTCGTGAGGCAGTAGGTAAATGAAAGGGGGTAAGGCAGCCGGGATTGATTGGGATAAAAAATAGAAATGTTAAAAGCAGGTGGGGATATAGTTTTGGAGTGGTTGGTGCAATTATTTAATAAATACATGGAAGAGGGTAAGGTACCTAGGGATTGGCAGAGAGCATGCATAGTTCCTTTGTATAAAGGCAATGGGGACAAAAGAGAGTGCAAAAATTATAGGGGGATAAGTCTGTTGAGTATACCTGGTAAAGTGTATGGTAGAGTTATTATTGAAAGAATTAAGAGTAAGACGGAGAATAGGATAGCAGATGAACAAGGAGGCTTTAGGAAAGGTAGGGGGTGTGTGGACCAGGTGTTTACAGTGAAACATACAAGGCTAAAGAGGTCTTTGTGGCATTTATGGATTTGGAAAAGGCGTATGACAGGGTGGACAGGGGGGCAATGTGGCAGATGTTGCAGGTGTATGGTGTAGGAGGTAGGTTACTGAAAGCAGTGAAGAGTTTTTACGAGGATAGTGAGGCTCAAGTTAGAGTATGTAGGAAAGAGGGAAATTATTTCCCAGTAAAAGTAGGCCTTAGACAAGGATGTGTGATGTCACCGTGGTTGTTTAATATATTTATAGATGGGGCTGCAAGAGAAGTAAATGCTAGGGTCTTGGCAAGAGGCGTGGAGTTAAAAGATAAAGAATCACACATAAAGTGGGAGTTGTCACAGTTGCTCTTTGCTGATGATACTGTGCTCTTGGGAGATTCTGAAGAGAAGTTGCAGAGATTGGTGGATGAATTTGGTAGGGTGTGCAAAAGAAGAAAATTAAAAGTGAATACAGGAAAGAGTAAGGTTATGAGGATAACAAAAAGATTAGGTGATGAAAGATTGGATAACAGATTGGAGGGAGAGAGTATGGAGGAGGTGAATGTATTCAGATATTTGGGAGTGGACGTGTCGGCAGATGGGTCTAAGAAAGATGAGGTGAATCATAGAATTGATTAGGGGAAAAGGGTGAGTGGTGCACTTAGGAGTCTGTGGAGACAAAGAATTTTGTCCTTGGAGGCAAAGAGGGTAAGTATGAGAGTATAGTTTACCAACGCTCTTATATGGGTGTGAAAGCATGGGTGATGAATGTTGCAGCGAGGAGAAGGCTGGAGGCAGTGGAGATGTCATGTCTGAGGCAATGTGTGGTTGTGAATATAATGCAGAGAATTCGTAGTTTGGAAGTTAGGAGGAGGTGCGGGATTACCAAAAGTGTTGTCCAGAGGGCTGAGGAAGGGTTGTTGAGGTGGTTCAGACATGTAGAGAGAATGGAGCGAAACAGAGTGACTTCAAGAGTGTATCAGTCTGTAGTGGAAGGAAGGCGGGGTAGGGGTCGGCCTAGGAAAGGTTGGAGGGAGGGGGTAAAGGAGGTTTTGTGTGCGAGGGGCTTGGACTTCCAGCAGGCATGCGTGAGCGTGTTTGATAGGAGTGAATGGAGACAAATGGTTTTTAATACTTGACGTGCTGTTGGAGTGTGAGCAAAGTAACATTTATGAAGGGGTTCAAGGAAACCGGCAGGCCGGACTTGAGTCCTGGAGATGGGAAGTACAGTGCCTGCACTCTGAAGGAGGGGTGTTAATGTTGCAGTTTAAAAACTGTAGTGTAAAGCACCCTTCTGGCAAGACAGTGATGGAGTGAATGATGGTGAAAGTTTTTCTTTTTCGGGCCACCCTGCCTTGGCGGGAATCGGCCAGTGTGATAATAAAAAAATAATATATTAGGTAGGGAGAACTGACAACCCAAAATTCAAATGAAGAGGGAAACACCAGCTCTCAGTTCAAAACTCCAAAACTCCAAAACAGAGACATGACGTGTCAAACTGCTCAGATTCCTACCAATACACTTGGCCTGGAGACAACGACATCTTAAGATTCTTCCCGAAGTACGGTGGATATTAGTCTCTTCCAGGCAAACCCGCAGTAGACAAGACCTCAGTTTCCTACCAGCATAGTTGGCCAACATTTCTGGGGAATCGTAAGTTGGGGTCATCTGTGGGGGTAAAGCAGACGGACAAGCGAACACCGATTAAGTCCGTTATTGCAAGAAATACTGAGGAGTGAGGGAACAGAGAACTCCACACCACCGAGTACATCCTTCACTTGTTTACAGCTAGGAATTTCTTACAAGAGCAGTAGTAACTGGAAATATGTAAGAACCACTGTGAGCCTGGGTACTGTCTCAGAGTGTCTGTGTCAACAGTACTTGCCAGGGGGGCAGTTCACACATAAATTTCCAGGGAAGCCCTTTATATATCTCTGTGCAGGTCACAGTATTGCCATTAGATGGAAATGTACAGAAGGTTAGGTTGTCCCATGTGGGGGGATTGGAGTGAGTGTCTTCATCCTCTCCTTCAAAAGAGGATTCTGTGAGTCTTCATAGGTGCCGGCAAGTGGTTGCGATTCGTCACCAGTGGTGAGATGTATTGGTGGATTGTCAGCTGGGTGACAGACGTGGGAGGCAGTGATTGAGTCAGTAGAATCTTCGTTGTCATCAATGGAAGCCTTTAGGGGTGGTACAGGAACAGTTGGGCAGAGGAAGAAGGCGGGTCTGCAGATGTAGTGAAGTTCACTACGTTGGGTACAATCTTGAACGGTTGGCCGAAGGTGTGGAGTCGGGGAAGATGAAGGGAGGCATGTTGTTTAGTTGGAAGAGTTCGATAGTAGAGTTATATGTACCAGGATTTGCAAGGTGTGCATACACCATGCAATACAACACCTTGGAGGGAGCACCGACTGGGAGTGGAGAGAAAGTTACTGGGTGAAGGAGACTATTGTGTTGCCTGGAGAATCTTGGTAGTGTCAAATTCAAGTTTAATAATGGAGACATATGTAAGTAAATTTATTCAGGTATAGGTACACGTAAATAGTTACATAAATTATACATAGCAGCATATGTGTAGATTACCCAAGATAACCAAAAAAAAAAGTCAGTGACTTATTTCCATTGGAGTCCTGTAGATATTGAGGTGTTCTTAAGGTCTATTTGAATCTTCGTAGTTATGATTTCTTTTCTTAGAGGGCACTTAGCTGCAAGATGATTACCCATGCAGTTAAGGCATGTTGGAACAGTGGTGGTAGTGCAGGATTTGAAATCGTGGCCTTCTCTCCCACAGTTTGAACAGAATTTCCTATCCTTGATGGGGCACTCCTTTGCAGTATGAATGCAAAAGTAGCAGGTCCAGCAAAGGGAGATGTGTATGTAACGTTCTGGTTCAGTGTGGCTTGTGTGTATGCGATAAGAGATCAGTCCAGAGAGAGCTTCAGAAGCCATGGATTATTATTATTATTATTATTATAATGGGGAAGAGCTAAACCCATACGATTATACAGCACACAGCGCTTATGGGGGGGGGATGGAAGGTATTCAGGCTTAATTCAGGGAACTGGAGCACAAATCCAATTCCCTAGATCAAGAGCCCCTCACCAATGCCAAGGAATCTCCTTTGAGGGGTATGAACTGATAGTCCCTGGTAGGCAAAACATGTGTCATAACCTTCACATTCTTGCATACATTAAATCAGTGGGAGTCATAATCACTTTGAAAATGGGAGGTTTAATGTGAGGTAAGGAACAGTAGTTCCAATTCTTCAGATCAAAAGCCCTTCACCTGTGCCTAGAAGCTCCTGAAGTTTATCTCACTGTAGATACACCTCCCTTGATGCTAGTGAGAGGTCAATTTTTAACAGGATAATACACAACCCACACATACGAGACTAAAACTTACGATATTTCAGTCTGACTTGGACCATTAACTAATCATAAGTTCCAGCCTCCTATGTGTGGGTTATTTGTATATTGTTCCAGTCACAGTAGTGTGCCTTCTTATTCTTTAACATAGTAATGTTGTGTTCATAACCCATGTGGGAGGGTGGGGGTTATACACTCTGAGTCAAGAAATTGGACCTGTCTTTCCCTTCCTTGAATCAAACCTGATTGCCTCACATTCCACAGGTGCTGTGTGGCACCTACAGGCTTAGTGCATCCCCTAAATATAATAATGTAGATATTCAAAGCAGCTATTGTTGCAATGTAAAGTATTACTACCCTTTATATAATAGTGATTTGATCCTCTCATCTCATTATAGATTCTCATTTAGGTGGGAAGTACAGTGAATGCACTCAGGATGGTGATGCTGCAGCTCCAATGGCATTATTTGCACTCCTTTTTTTTTTTTTGCCAAGATGAGCTCTTGGATGAACGGTGGTGAGTGTGCTTCTTCTGGTCATCATTTCTTCCTGGGAAACTGCCAATGAGGTAAAGAAAACAGTCTTATGTTGCTCACATTTTATTTGCAGGGATGATTAAATGTTCTAGTGTTCATAATTATACTTTGAGTACCCATGTGAGGACTTTGCTGGTATTATTTTACAAAACTCATTTTCTGGATGGATAGTTGAGGAATAAAGGCTGAAAGTTCAAAAGAATTTAGGAATATGTTGAATAAAACTTTGAATTACTTGTGGAAAGTTTATTTCACTCAAGTTAGAATGTACATTACAAAACAAAATACAGTATTATGTCTGTATAGTGAATAACTAGTGAATAAGGAATCCAATGAATAATATGGTTAAGTACTGATGCTGCACTCTCATGTCCTATTATTACATGGCTGTAATAACTGCATTATGTGCTCTCAAACCAATCACATCATGAAATAAATCCTGTCTTTAAAGATGAAACATATCACATAATTATATTAGAGACTATAATATGACAAAAGGCCAAGATGAACAGAGACCTACAGTCTGTGGCTAATAACTGTCTGATACATATTCTATGTAAAAGATTGGCATATCAATGTATATCCCTACTTCCTTGCAGAATTTACAAATAGTCACAACATACTTTGACATCCGAATAAAGACGACCTTAGCCACAGGAGTTTCAGGAGGGAAATATCTCGAGCAAAACGGCTCGGCAATATTCTTCGTGCACTGGACATGTGCCGAATCATCAGCTGTGTACACAGCCAATCTTCATGTACCAATTACAATTGATGCTCTTGCACGGCAGAGAATTCGAGCTTCAGTAAACTGCCATCAAAGGATTTTCCTTGCCAATCTCCTCACAGTTATAAATACAGAGCTCTACGTATACATGCCCCAGTCACCCCCGACTATGACATAGCTCTACAACTGCTTACCCCAGTCCTGTCCAGCAGCGAGTAACACAGAGGGCACTGTGAGCTATGCTATATGCAATATTGGAAGCTCATCTGAACTGTGCCACTCCACTCATCCCCAGCCAAAAAATGGTGATGAATCTGCTCTGCCACGGACCCACGGTTGGGTTGCAAAGTGTTATCTGTTAAGCTTAATTCCAGCCTCGAGATCCATCTTTGTCTCACTTCGGAACATTGCTATACTTCTTTTGCTCCAGGAGACGCTCTAGTGGAGATGGGCCAGGACCAGACCACAGTGACTGAAAAACAGGAAATTATTTATTCCTTTTTCATGCTTAAGGAGTATTATGTGTATTTTAGTGATTACATATTAATAAAATTAACGCAAGAGGATCCTAACTGAACTATTAGCCCTGTGGTGCTGCTAGCAGTAGGAACAGCCTGGTTAAGCAGGCAGCTAACAAGGCATCCTTGAAACAAGTCACAGCAATGCCCACTTTCATTATCTGATATGACAAAGTTTGGAGAACCTGTCCTTGTCCAGTAAAGTGCAGCAAAATCTCTCTAACGGACCCCAATTTAATGAATTTTTGGATTTAAATGACCAAATCTGTGGCCTGACAACATTTGGAAACAACAAAGTCTGCTAAATCAAGAATTGTTCATTATTGTTGCAATGCAATGGGTAAATTTATTTTGGGACCTAATCCATTAAGTCCTTTAAATCCAGAACTGTCTGAAACTGCTAAGAGCCTGGAAAACTACACATAATTCAGATTTAATGGCATTCCTTCCTCCCATTAGTCCACTTGTATGGCACTTATGTAAAGTTTTGCTGACATTTTGGCCTTGGATTGGAAAATACCAATTTGAAGCCCAGTACAAGGGTATGGAAGGATATGTGGATACTAGCTAAAGATGCAACAAGTTTATACTGCATGACAGATTTTTGCCAGATTCTAGCAAAATCACTGGTAAATTTAATATCACAATTTTATCATTTTCTAGAATAGATCTAAAACTTTCTTTCCAAACTGCGGATTAGCTGAGAAATGCTCAAGCCTCTAGTCTAGACATATTTATCCAGGAGGGATGAGGTCCCGTAAATATTCAGTTGCTGAGCCAACATCAATAATGAAAGCTTTTGTAATTTCTTCATATTGCAATAAAAGAAATTACCTTTGAATAGAAATGACAGTGTCCTTACCTGTTGTCCACTTGGTTGTGAACTGCTCGGGTACAGAGGGTGAGGAACTGTGCGACTGGGACCAACACCCATACCCATACCACCTCCGCTCATGGGACTGAAGAGGGAGTAAGTGTTGCCTGATGGTCCTTCAACTTCACCCTGCAAAATTCAAACTCTTCATCCTTGCTGATCTTGGATCAGGCACGTTACACCTAGCACAGCCTACCCTGCAGTGCTGTTATGCCTCTTATGAGTTTAGTGCATGCTTTTGATTATAATATTCAAATGAAAAATACACATATAGAACCTGGTAAAAAAAAAATGATACATAGCACATCTCCATTACTGGGAAGTATTTTGTGCCATCCAGATTAAATTGGCTGACCAATGAGGCATATTTCTGTTTTTGTCCTTGTCATTACTGAGGCTGCCACCTAGAGAAGATCAACTATAATCAATGGTGAATACATGCAATTGACTCACTAAGCCTGGATAGGACACAAGCTTGCTTATCTTCCCTATCCTCCCTCCCAACCAAAATAATACTGTAATAATATTATTATTATTATTGTTTTACATGATGGTAGGATTGCTGGCGTCTTTTTTTCTGTGTAGTAAACATGCAAGATTTCAGGTACGTCTTGCTACTTCTACTTACACTTAGGTCACACTGCGCACGCATAGACAAGCCCCCCTAGCTTTTCTTCTATTTCCTTACTAGTTCTTGTTTATTTCCTCTTATCTCCATGGGAAAGTGGAACAGAATTCTTCCTCCGTAAGCCATGGATGTCATAAGAGGTGACTAAACTGCTGGGAGCAAGGGGCTAGTAACCCTTTCTCCTGTATGCATTACTAAATTTAAAAGGAGAAACTTGTTTATCATTTTGAGCCACCCTGCCTTGGTGGGATATGGCTGGTTTGTTGAAAGAAGAATAGTATTATTATTATTATTATTATTAATACTTGCCTCTGGCAAGACAGTGATGGAATGAATAACGATGAAAGCTTTTCTTTTTCAGGCCACCCTGACTTGGTGGGAAATGGTCGATGTGTTAATAATTTATTATTAATACTACACACAAAAAAAATAATGGTATTAGACCTAACTGAATTTGCATGTGATTCCAGTTGTTGAGCATAGCGTTTCAATGGAATCAAACTGGAATAAATACTAACATGTCTATTCTGAATATGCACTGCATTTCTTCCTACCTAGGGCAATAATTGGAGGGACAAGTAGTGCCACCAATATTGCTCCAAATTAATGGAAATTTTTGTTAGACTTTTTTATAAAAAACATTTTAACAATATTATGAGGTTGGACAATTTTCTTCTTCTTATTCGTTTTAGTAATCTTTACAGGAAAAGGGGTTACTAGCCCATTGTTCCCGGCATTTTAGTTGACTTTTACAACACGCATGGCTTACGGAGGAAAGATTCTTATTCCACTTCCCCATGGATATAAAAGGAAAATTAATAAGACCAAGAACTATTAAGATAAAATCAAAGAAAACTCAGATGAGTGTGTATGAATAAATGTGTATATGTATGTGTAGTGTGACCTAAGTGTAAGTAGAAGTAGCAAGACATGCCTGTAATCTTGCATATTTATGAGACAGACAAAAGACATCAGCAATCCTACCATCATGTAAAACAATTACAGGCTTTCGTTTTACACTCACTTGGCAGGACGGTAGTACCTCCCTGGGTGGTTGCTGTCTACCAACCTACTACCTATAAATATTACCTGTAAATATTATGCAGAAAATTCGGAGTGTGGAAATTAGGAGAAGGTGTGGAGTTAATAAAAGTATTAGTCAGAGGGCAGAAGAGGGGTTGTTGAGGTGGTTTGGTCATTTAGAGAGAATGGATCAAAGTAGAATGACATGGAAAGCATATAAATCTATAGGGGAAGGAAGGCGGGGTAGGGGTCGTCCTCGAAAGGGTTGGAGAGAGGGGGTAAAGGAGGTTTTGTGGGTAAGGGGCTTGGACTTCCAGCAAGCGTGCGTGAGCGTGTTAGATAGGAGTGAATGGAGACGAATGGTACTTGGGACCTGACGATCTGTTGGAGTGTGAGCAGGGTAATATTTAGTGAAGGGATTCAGGGAAACCGGTTATTTTCATATAGTCGGACTTGAGTCCTGGAAATGGGAAGTACAATGCCTGCACTTTAAAGGAGGGGTTTGGGATATTGGCAGTTTGGAGGGATATGTTGTGTATCTTTATATGTGTATGCTTCTAGACTGTTGTATTCTGAGCACCTCTGCAAAAACAGTGATAATGTGCGAGTGTGGTGAAAGTGTTGAATGATGATGAAAGTATTTTCTTTTTGGGGATTTTCTTTCTTTTTTGGGTCACCCTGCCTCGGTGGGAGACGGCCGACTTGTTGAAAAAAAAAAAAAAAAAAAAAAAAAAAAATGAGGTTGGGACAAAGTTAAAAAATAATTGGGAGCCAGTTTGCATCATACTGTTAATCATAGACCTATCATTCACTTAGAAAGGAAAAACTTCTCAACTTTATCTCATTCTACCATAAAGAACAAAAGTGATATATATGCTTGAGAGAAGAAAAATAATAACAGAAAAGACATTTGAAAAACAGACAGATGTCTGATATAAAATCAGGGAAATGTTTTTGGATCTGCCCAAATGAGGCACACCTGTATGAGGAATTACATCTATATTAAAAGACAAGAACACAAATAAAAGATCCTTCTTGAAAGACATGTCAGCATGGTATGACAGCTGGGAAAATAAAATGGTTGAGCTGAATGGGGCTGTCTTGGAAGACAGCACTCCTGAGGGTGCTAGTGTTGCCCTGGAGGACAGTGAACCAAGAGAAGATATTGGCCCTGGTGATGAAATAAGTAAAGATAATGCTATTCAAATTACAGAGGTACAAAATAGCAATACTGCAGGAGATGGAACATGAGGGGATGATGCCTCAGGGAATAGTACTGACACATTACCAGCAAAACCTGGTGGAAGCACTGATGTCCATACAGGGGTGGTAGGTAGAGGGGAAACAGAAAAAATGCACCAGCAGCAAATGCAGCTACAAAAAATCCTAGCAAACAGAATTCCAATCTATGCAAATTCTATGTCTTGGGTATCTGCAGGCATGGTATATCTGGTAAAACAGGTGGTACATGCACCTTTGACCATCCAAAAAAAATGCAACACCCACATGACAACAGGAGGGTGCAACTCCCCTTCCTGTAACTTATTTCACCCTCAAATGTGTCACTTGTTTTTCCTTCTTTGCAGGAAGAACTAAAAGCCATGAAGGAAATTAAAAAAAAAAAATACTTCTATTATGCCAAATGTAAGGGAAAAAAATCCAGTATTGGGTCCTTGCTTAGGCAAGATGGGACATACAATGACAGCCAAGAAATGAGTGAGATACTGAAGTCCCAATACGACTCAGTGTTCAGGGAGCCGCTGCCCACACTAAGGGTCAACAATCCAAATTAATTCTTTATGAACGAGACCCAAAATTTGGTAATCTCAAAAATCTCAGATATTATCCTAACACCACAAGACTTTGAAAAGGAAATAAGGAAATAAATGACATGCCCATGCACTCTGCCCCAAGCCCAGACTTATAGAACTCTGTGTTCATCAAGAACTGCCAGAAGCCCCTGTTGCATGCCTTCAGCATTCTATGGAGAGGGAGCATGGATACAGGGGTTATCCCACACTCACTAAAAACAACAGACATAGCCCCACTCTACAAAGGTGGCAGTAAAGCAATTGCAAAGAACTACAGACCGATAGCTCTAACATCCCATATCACAAAAATCTTTGAAAGGGTTCTAAGAAGCAAGATCGCCAACCACCTAGATACCCATCGATTACACAACCCAGGGCAACACGGGTTTAGAGCAGGTCTCTCCTGCCCGTACCAGCTACTGGACCACTATGACAAGGTCCTGGATGCTGTAGAGGATAAACAAAATACAGATGTAGTATACAAAGACTTTGCAAAGGCTTTCGACAAGTGTGACCATGGTGTAATAGCACACAAAATGCGTGATAAAGGAATAACAGTTAAAGTTGGTAGATGGATCTATAATGTCCTGACAAACAGAACACAAAGAGTAATAGTAAACAGAGTAAAATTTGAAGCAGCTGTGGTGAAAAGCTCTGTTCCACAAGGCACAGTACTCGCTTCCATTCTATATCTTGTCATCATATCTGACACAGACAGAGATGGAAACCATAGCTCCATGTAGTCCTCTGTGGATGACACCCGGATTGCCATGACAGTGACCTCCATCAAAGACACCGCAAGACTCCAAGTGGACATCAACCAAATCTTCAAATGGGCCACTCAAAACAATATGAAGTTCAATGAAGAGAGATTTCAACTACTCAGATATGGAAAACTTGAGGAAATTAAAACTGTATCAGGGTATATGACAAATTCTAATGATACAATAGAGCAGAAAGGTAATGTGAAGGACCCAGGAAGAATAATGTCAGAGGATCACACCTTCAAGGTCCACAACAAGGTACTATCTACTGCATCTGCTAGGAAAATGATAGGATGGATAATGAGAACCTTCAAAACTAGGGATGCCAGGCCCATGATGATTCTCTTCAAATCGCTTGTTCTCTCTAGGCAGGACTACTGCTGTACACTGACTGCCCCCTTCAAGGCAGGCGAAATTGCTGACCTGGAGAGTGCACAAAGAACTTTCACGGTACACATAAGTACGATAAGGCACCTAAATTACTGGGAACAGCTGAAGGCCCTTGAATTGTATTCCCTGGAATGCAAGCAAGAAAGATACATAATAATATACACTTTGAAAATCCTAGAGGGATTAGTACTAAATTTTCACACGAAAATCACTCCCTACGAAAGCAAAAGACTCTGCAGGAGATGCAACATTTCCCCAATGAAAACCAGGGGTGCCACAAGTACACAGAGACAACACAATAAGTATCTGGGCCCCAAGACTCTTCAACAGCCACCCACCATACATAAGGGGGATTACCAATAAACCCCCAGCTGTCTTCAAGAAGGCACTGGACAGGCACCTAAAGTCAGTACCTGACCAGCCAGACTGTAGTTCGTACATCAGTTTGTGTGTGGCCAGCAGTAACAGGCTGGTTGATCAGACCCTGATCCACCACGAGGCCTGGTCTCAGACTGAGCTGTGGGGGTGTTGACCCTTGAAATCCTCTCCAGGTAAACTCCAGAAGTAACTAAATTACATTAAGGTTGTTATAATGATCCAAGGAAATAAGTAAAGAAAGTTGATGCTGTAAGAACATACCTGTCAACCATAATTAACTTTATTTCTTGTATTTTTAAAGTTTTAATAATAAAAATAACTTTTCTTTTGTATATTATTTCCACTGGGAAGCATTTAACCCACAGGGGTCATACAACACCTTGGAAATGGGAGGCAATAAAGTTTGATCCAAAAAGGAAAAGGACAGCTTCAATTATTTGGATAAAGAGCCATTCACCAGCATCAAGGTGCCTATTAAGAAGAGTATTACATGTATGAATGCAGATACTGAAACTACAAAGCATTACTTACCTCTTGCATGAATGGTTGTCCTCTGGGTGGCTGGCTGTGAGGTATGGAACCTGGCGGCTGAGTGGAAGGCATGGAGAGCATGCCCAGAGGAACAGTGCCAAGTGGGCCAACACCAGGAGGGCTGCGAGAGTTTATTGCAGGGTTGTGTACTGAGGGACCACCAGGCAGTCGGGCTAACCCAGAGGTTAGCTGATCTGAGCCATGATCTAGCTGTAGATTGAGCCTCATATCAACTGGAGCATGTTGCTGCAAAAGACTAGCTAATGTAGGAGGGGGGTGACTCATGTGGTAGCTTTTACTTTCATTATGACCTGGACCCCAGCCCATGCCCATGGGTGGCGAAAGTCCAGGGCCTCGAGGTGCTCCTACATCACTATCACCAAATACGTTTCTGGGACCTCCCGACACTCCAGTACCACTTGATACACTGACATTCTGCCTACCATCAATACCAAAGAGATGGGCATTCATAGCTCCAGGCGAGAGAAGTGGATGGGTTACAGGATTCATTTTGGCCTGAGAAGTGACTGTATCCATATCCTGCTGGCTCTGATGTTGCCTGAACTGTGCTTGAGTCATGCAAGAACTATCTAAGCCTTGACCCTCTGTACCTTGAGGATGCATCCTGCATGTATTACCCAAGCCATCCACTGGTCCAAATGAAGGAGGTGCACGTGTCATTCCCATCATTTCCAGCATTCTGGGAGCTGGCTCCCTCATTCTATTAGGTATATCTACTCCTGGCCTTGGTGGAACTGCTCCACCAAGTTGATGGAAGCCCTCAAGAGGTGGTCTGTTAAATATGCCAGCAGTCAGTAAGTCAGACTGGTTAGGTGTAGTCGATTGCAGTTGCTGTAAAACGGTTTGTGGAGATGGCCCACTACCATTTCTCTGCATATTAAAGGCTGGCCCAGTATTCATAGGCTGGTTTTGCTGATGCAGAGAGCGGCTCATGTTATGTGGAGAAGAGATATTTCCACTCATTCCACCCCATGGAGGTTGTCCTCCAAATTGCTGATGCTGCTGGCTTGGAAAATTACTTTCTGAGCTTTGATTTTGTCGTCCAAACGAAGTTCCCTGTCCCTGAGGTGGTGTACCTATCTGGTACATTTGCCCAAGATGATGAGGCATGGGAGAACTGGACATGGGATCTCGCTGGGAAGTGGAAGAAAGTAATGGGGGTGTGGAGAGCTGACTGCGATGACTATCGCTGGAAGCTTCAGATGGGTTTGGAGATATGGCTGGTGAAGGAGTCTTAAAAGTAACCTGCAAAAAATAATTAAAAATATTTTAATGTGTCAAAAATAACATATTAATAATGCTAGGCATAGCAAAACAAAAATAAATAAAAAAAACTGATACAAATGATTTACAATCTTAACGTATCTTGGTAAATGAATTTAAAATCTCTCTTGTACAGTATTGATAGCAGTACACATAATACATACAATGTTGCATTTACGGATTTAGAAAAAGCATATGATAGGGTGGATAGGGAAGAAATGTGGCAGATGTTGCAAGCATATGAAATAGGTAGATTGCTCCCCTAATAACTGCTTTTAATAATGTGGCAGGTAGGTTACTGAAAGAAGTTATGAGGATAGCTAGACTTGTGTAAAGGCATATAGGAGAGGGGAAGATTATTTTCCAATAAAAGTAGAGTTTAGACAGGATGTATGATGTCACCATGACTGTTTATGTATTTATAGAGAGGGCTGTAAAAGAAGTGACTGCTAGGATACTGGGGAGAGGTGTTGGAGCTGTCAGTTGATTTTCTGCCAGTGACATTGCTTTTGGGAGAGTTTGAAGTGAAGTTACAAAGGATGATGGACAAATTTGGGAGGGTATGTAAAAGGAAACTAAAACTGAATATAGGAAAGAGCAAGGTGACAAGAGTAACAAACAATTTAGGCAATGAAAGACTGGATTTCAGAATGGATGGAGTATGGAGGAAGTGAATGAGTTCAGATATTTGGGAGTGTACTTATCGGTGGATGGGTGTTTGAAAGACAAAGTGAACCACAGAATTAGTGAGGGAAAAAAAGGCGAGTGGTGTAATGAGGCATCTGTGAAGACAAAGAACATTATCCATGGAGGCAAAAATGGGAATGTATGAGAGTACTGTGGTACTAACACTCTTACATGGATGTGAAGCATGGGCTGTGAGTAATGCAGTGAGGAGGAGGCTGGAGGCAGTGGAGATGTCCTGTCTGTAGGCAATGTGTAATGTAAATATTATGCAGCAAATTTGTAGCTTGGACATTAGGAAGAGGCGTGGGGTTACTAAAAGCATTATCCAGAAAACTGAGAAGGGGTTGCTGAGGTTGTTTGGACATTTAGAGAGAATGGAGCAAAACAGAATGACATGAAGGGTGTAAATCTGTAGTGGAGGGAAGATTAGCCAGACTTGAGTACAGGAGGTGAGAAATAAAGTGCCTGCACTCTGAAGGAGGGGTAGCAATATTTGCAGTTTGGAGGGGCATCCAAACTGTAGTATCAATGTGCCTCTGGCAAGACAATGATTGGGTGAATGATGGCAAAAGTGTTTTCTTTTTCAGGTCACCCTACCTCAGTGGGAGACGGATGGTGAATTAAAAAAAAAAATACAACGTACTGTCATGGAGATGAATGACAAAGTGGTGTAGGTAGTGTATCCATGTGATTAAAGGCAGAGGGCCAAGGCGGGCAAAAAATAATGAGTGCAGTATACAAGAGGTGGTATGCATATAAATAAAACATGGAAAAAATAACAGTGCATTAGGCAGTGGAAGCAATTTGTCAGTTTTTTCTATACCACACTGGCCACTCTCCAAGGTATGGTGACCCAAAGAAGGAAACACATTCACAATCATTTATTCAATATGTTAAAACCAAAGTCACCAAATGTCTAAAAAAAATAAACAGTCCATTCAGGAAGTGGTTTTAGATGGTTCTCATGTCAGCAATAATCATGAACACATTTAATGTTCATACAACCACTCAAAATGTTAGGAGAATCTACCTGCTTGGCTTCTTGCATGGCCGAGTTCCTCTTCATGATTGCTTGAAGAGCCACATTGGTGCGAGAGCGTGGTGGGCGAGACTGACCTTGCCCCTGGCCTGGCTGCTGCTGTTGTGGCTGTTGCTGCTGCTGTTGTTGTTGTTGCTGCTGCTGTTGCTGGTGTGATGGCTGACCTGAGGGTGAACTTTGTAACTGAGCAGAACCTGTTACCACTTTGATGCTCATACCCCCAACACCAACAAGAACACCTGAGAGAAGGATTAGCACTGGTTAGTATCCACACATCAAGCAGCAGTTGCCAGTTAATTTACAATACATGCAAAAAGGGAACATATAGTGGAATAATTGAAAATTTTAAAGATCTGTTGTGCCAGAACCACAGAAACAACTGCAGACAGATACAAGGCTTTGGCAGTTGAGTATTCTCAGTAAGCGGCATATTTAATGAGAAAATTTTAAGATAGAGTATGCCGATGTTAGCATGCACATATACAAATATGTATGGCCCATATCCATTACATCTGTTAATGGTTCTGAAGATATTCATCCAGGGGCCAAGTCTCAAACATGGCCTCTTAAATTATTAAAGAAACATTATGTAAAGTAAAAGGACACAAGTGCAACTAACGTGACATTTTTATTGTGGCAACATTTCACTCTCCAGGAGCTCTTGGAGAGCGAAATGTTGCCACAATAAAAATGTCACATTAGTTGCACTTGTGTCCTTTTACTTTACATATTGTTGGTAATTCTACCAACTTTATTACAAAGAAACATTAGGGAATAAGAACCATTAGAAACAGGAAAGTAAAGTATATACTGAATATAATTTACCTGCTATCTTACAAAAAGAAAAGGCCAGCAATTTAGCCAGAGAGCAAAACATTTAATGGGTTTCCATTTCACACTAATATAGCAGAAGGGTAGTACCTACCTCGATGACTGCTGTGCACCAGCCTACTGCCTACAATATTATATCAAGTGTTACTGTATATAACTGACTGGTTCCACAAATGGGAAGTTAAATGTACACAGAATAGATTTAGTAATTTCCTACTTAATTGTTGCTTTATGGTTATACTTAATCACACTATACATGAGCAGTTACAGCATATCATACAGCATGTGATTTATAAGCAGAAGCATTTTAATGCACAGTACATGTATAAAATTTATATTAACTTTCATTTTATTTTTTTTTTAACACGTTGGCCGTTTCCTACCAAGGCAGGGTGACCCAAAAGAAAGAAAAACCCAAAAAGAAAAGCTTTCATTATCAGTCAACACTTTCACCATTACTCATACATAATCACTATCTTTGCAGAGGTGCCCAGATATGACAGTTGAGATAGTCACTCCAAACTGCCAATATCCCAACCCCTCCTTTAAAGTCCAGGCATTGTACTTCCCATTTCCAGGACTCAAGTTTGGCTAACTGATTTCCCTGAATCCCTTCACAAAATATTACCCTGCTCACACTCCAACAGCTCATCAGGTCCCAAAAACCATTTGTCTCCATTCACTCCTATCTAACACGCTCACGCACGCTTGCTGGAAATCCATACCCCTCACCCACAAAACCTCCTTTACCCCTTCCCTCCAACCGTTTCGAGGATGACTCCTACCCCGCCTTCTTTGCCCTACAGATTTATACGTTCTCCAAGTCATTCTAATTTGATCCATTCTCTCTAAATGACCAAACCACCTCAACAACCCCTCTTCAGCCCTCTGACTAATACTTTTAGTAACTCCACACCACCTAATTCCCACACTGTGAATTCTCTGCATAATATTTACACTACACATTGCCCTTAGACAGGACATCTCCACTGCCTCAACCGCCTCCTCGCTGCAGCACATAAGTGTGTTGGCACCACTATACTTTCATACATTCCCTTCTTTGCCTCCATTGTTAAGTTTTTTGTCTCCACAGATACCTCAACACACCACTCACCTTTTTTCCTTCATCAATTCTATGGTTAACCTCATCTTTCATAAACCCATCCGCTGTCAAGTCAACTCCCAAATATCTGAAAACATTCACTTCTTCCATACTCCACCTCTCCAATGTGATATCCAATTTTTTTTTATTATTGTATAAAATAAATAGTCAAAGATTGTTTTCACCAGTATACAAAAGATAACAAGAAAAAAACATAATATATTGTACCAAACAGTGTTCAGGAACACAGGAGGTTTCAAACTCAGACACCCCAAGTTACAAATACGTATCACACTTATGAACAGGGCATATATGACCAAATTAAATGCTTGCAACTGCCAATGTACAGTACAAATGTACAAAAAATTACCATCTTTTGTACTTCTGTTTTCTATACCAACATTCTTAGCCAAAACAGCAGGAAAGCCACTCATTTGTAAGTTGGAAACTTCCTTTAAATGTAAAATTTAAGAATGTTTGGCAAATCAGTTCTTCTTTCAACGTACCAGCCATATCCCACTGATGTGGGGTGGCCGAAAAGGAAGAACGAAAGTTTCGCCTTTTATATTTAGTAATATATACAGGAGAAGGGGTTACTAGCCCCTTGCTCCCGGCATTTTAGTCACCTCTTACGACATGCGTGGCTTACGGAGGAAGAATTCTGTTCCACTTCCCCATGGGAAGTTATGGGAAGCAATACCTGCCTAGCCTTTCAATAATGCACAGCAAACCTTCACAGGCTCAAGAGATTACAGAAGAGCCCCCATACCTACTGATTCGGTATCCATAGTTTCAGTCATCCACGATTTACTGTGGCCCAAAAGTACCTCTTAATTTTGCACAATAATGGCCCCATAATGCAAAAGTAGAGAAGCTGGTAGTTCTTTCAAGCCTAAGAGAAGCCATGAGGTGCTTCCCATTAGTGAAAAAATGAAAATTCTCCACTTACTGTGCATAATTTATCAACTAAACTTTGTAATAGGTATGCATAGGATTTATATAAAGTTTTTGCTACTATCCACAGCAAATACTTGGAACATATCCCCAGTGGATACAGAGGTCCTACTGTACATATCTCCAGACCTCATAAAAACTTTGAAATATAACTCTTATTGTTAAAGGTTATGTTGAAAAAACTGATTGTCCAAAGTGTCTAAGAAAATATGGCATTTATTGAAATATTATTAGAATCTTATCATCACAGTATAAATTAACCTAATTACTTAAATAACCATCACTGTTAATATTACAGTTATACTGTACATAAAAATTTAAGCATATGAGAAGGCAGGGGGACTAAAACAAGACCATGATCATGGCCACAGAACAGGTGAATCAGTTCGACATCTCCTTCGAGATCCTCAGATGGCTCATCCTAGGATTAGGACCCGTGTCAGGATGCAGTTCCTGACGAATCAATCAAACCAACAAAGGCAGAATTAGAATCAATAAGAATGACAAACCTGATTCTTTGATATCTTCATTTTCTCCAGTGATCCTTATTGATTTCTCAGAAAGCTCAGGCTGTTCTTGTTGCTCTCGAGTTTCCCTTGCTCGCTCTAAGGACCCCTGTGGTTTCAGGATGCCGACTTTACCTCTCTTTCCCATCAGCTTGTCCTGTAACAGTGATAACTGTGTCAAACTGGTATATCAATGCATTTTATAAGAAAGCTTGAATTCCTCTCTCTGATATGAAGGAGAAAGAGAAATCTTTCTTTCTTTCAACACACCAGCCGTATCCCACCGAGGCAGGGTGGCCCAAAAGGAGAAACGAAAGTTTCTCCTTTTACATTTAGTAATATATACAGGAGAAGGGGTTACTATCCCCTTGCTCCCGGCATTTTAGTCGCCTCTTACAACACGCATGGCTTACGGATGAAGAATTCTGTTCCACTTCCCCATGGAGATAAGGGGAAATAAACATGAACAAGAACTAGAAAGAAAATAGCAGAAAACCCAGAGGGGTGTGTAATATATATGCTTGTGCATGTATGTGTAGTGTGACCGAAGTGTAAGTAGGAGTAGCAAGACGTACCTGTAATCTTGCATATTTATGAGACAGACACAAGACACCAACAGTCCTACCATCATGTAAAACAATTACAGGCTTTCGTTTTACACTCACTTGGCAGGACGGTAGTGCCTCCCTGGGTGGTTGCTGTCTACCAACCTACTACCTTTAAGAAAGAGAAATGCCTGATAAAATATAATACACAAGGAAGATATCTGAGGATCTGGTCCCTACCTACACATTGCTATAGCAACTTTCTGGAGCGACATATATTAGAGAAAGTGCATAATAAAATCAGTGAAGATCAGGAAAGCCATGGGAACAAAAAGAGAACATGACAGTAACAATGGCCCAAGACACTTCAACAAACTACCAACAGAAATGAGAAATACTGGTAGAACAAGGAAATTTTCAAGAAGCTGAACAGTTCCCTACTTCAGGTGTCAACCAGGCTGTAAAGACTATGTGGGCCTGCAGGCCTCTAGCACAAACAGCCTGGTTGACCACATGATCAACAGGGTAGCCTAGTCTTGGGCCAGGCTGCAGAGGTAGAAGAGCCCTTGAAGCCAGTCACAGATCAGTCACATAACTTTAATAATAAACTTATTTAGCTGAACAGCAGTATAAGGTGTAACTGTTTCTATGTTGCAAATAAAATATTTAAAACAATTTTTTTTTTAAGGAAAGTCAAATACTAAACTAGAAACACCTCCAGATTTTTATATAAAGCCTAAACAGCTGAAGGACCAGACAACAGAATGAAGATCAACATCAAGAAGTGGAAGATCGAGTCAGAGAGGAACTCAAAATAAACGAGAAAAAATGCCAAAAACTCAGAAGGGAAATAGAATCAATAAAAACTCTTGATGTTCAGGGACCTGAGACTGCCATGCAGTGCAACCAGATATATGCAATAATTAGACACACCCTACAGTGAGGGCACAAGGAGTCCTGCTTCATACAAATGTACATGAGTCAAATATGTATGACCAATCCATAATCCAGCCAAGATAACTTCCTGACAATCCAGCCAAAATAACTTCCTGATAATCAAGCCAAGATAACTTCCTGACAATCCAGCCAAAGTAACTTCCTGATAATCAAGCCAAGATAACTTCCTGACAATCAATCCAAGATAACTTCCTAACAAATTCAGCCAACCACCAGCAAAATAACTTCCTGATAATCAAGCCAAGATAACTTCCTGACAATCCAGCCAAAGTAACTTCCTGATAATCAAGCCAAGATAACTTCCTGACAATCCAGCCAAAGTAACTTCCTGATAATCAAGCCAAGATAACTTCCTGACAATCAAGCCAAAGTAACTTCCTGATAATCAAGCCAAGATAACTTCCTGACAATCCAGCCAAAGTAACTTCCTGATAATCAAGCCAAGATAACTTCCTGACAATCCAGCCAAAGTAACTTCCTGATAATCAAGCCAAGATAACTTCCTGACAATCAAGCCAAGATAACTTCCTGACAATCCAGCCAAAGTAACTTCCTGATAATCAAGCCAAGATAACTTCCTGACAATCCAGCCAAAGTAACTTCCTGATAATCAAGCCAAGATAACTTCCTGACAATCCAGCCAAAGTAACTTCCTGATAATCAAGCCAAAATAACTTCCTGACAATCCAACCAAAGTAACTTCCTGACAATCAAGCCAAGATAACTTCCTGACAATCCAACCAAGATAACTTTCTGATAGCCAGAGGAGAGGTGAGAAAATACCCAACATTAAGCTTGATACTGCAATATGAAGCTTTGTCATTTTGGTTATTTATTACATGGAAAGGTAACCAGTACATTTTACATGGCATTTTTGTTGCCTTCTGTGGCATATGACTCATGAGTGAAGTATTAATCTGCTTTCCCATATGGAATAAAATTAAGTTTAGAATTACAGAAAAAAAATTGTCCTAATTAATAAAAGTTAATATGGGTCACACATGACAACAGTATGATAAGCAAATACACAAAAAAATTTATGTTATATTTTGTAGAAGCACATACAAATACACCACCACCGGGCCCTTACGACCTGCTCGACTTACGACCACTCTTACACAGTTTTTTATGCCAATTCTGGGAAATAAACAACTATTTGGTGTACACATTTTCCCCTAACCTTACAGTAAAAATACGTACTACAACATAAAAAGTAAGTAAACAATACCAAAATAAAACAATAAATAAATCATACAAAAATGTTTTGTTGATATCATATAAAGTTCAATTTACGACCCCTTCGACTTCGACCGGTTCTCGGACCGACCCCCCGGTCCCCCCCCCCCCGAAAGTCGGATGGTAGGTGAAATTATTTTTAATCAATTTCGCTCTCAAACTGTATTTCCCCTCAAGGAGAATCCCTTGACTGATGAGGGCCTTGATTTAGAGAATGGATCTATGCATTAACCCTGAATGCTTCCATTCTTTCCCACCATCACAACACTGTTAACCCCTATGGGGTTGGACCCTCCATTGATATATAGTATATAATAATAATAATTTTTTTTTTTTTTTTTTTTTTTTTTTCAACAATCGGCCTTCCCCGAGGCGGGTGACCCAAAAAAGAAAAAATCCCAAAAAGAAAATACTTTCATCATCATTCAACACTTTCACCCACTCGCACATTACAACTGTTTTTGCAGAGGTGCTCAGAATACAACAGTCTAGAAGCATACACATATAAAGATACACAACATATCCCTCCAAACTGCCAATATCCCAAACCCCTCCTTTAAAGTGCAGGCATTGTACTTCCCATTTCCAGGACTCAAGTGACTATATAAAAAAATTTAATAATAATAAAAATAATAATAATAATAATAATAATAATAATGCAGCCTCTCCTTACTTACGAGCTCTTTGATCAGTATTCATACCTAAATAATGTATGTTAGAGCTGATTTCCTCTATTCTGTTTATTACAATATACAGTACACTACTGTATAAACATTTAAAAATATACCAGAAATGCTATAAATGGTGCATAGATGACATTAAAACAATATAAAAGATGGCTGACAAAACCCACTACCATTATAGTATGCTTCTCACTTACTGACCAATTCGTTTACCGATGAGGTCTTGGAATGGAACTCTGTCGTTAAGTGAGGAGAGGCTGTAATAATGAACTGCATTTGAATTAAAAAAACTGCCTAAAATGCCCAAAATTTCATATAATATGAAAAATAATTGATTTTTAATGACAATAGATCACAAAAAAACACTCGGTGTTGCATCAGAATGAGTGATCTCTTACTTCAGGCTTGGGCTGTAAGGAAAGCTGTTCAAGGGCACGCACTTCGTCAACAGGTGGGCTGTAGTGCTTCATTGGCTCAAACGTCAACCCACCGGGTGTGTCTTGACTCCCTTCACAAATCTAATACAAAGGAAATTTATTAATATAAATGTTTTCCCCTATAGCAGACATGAGTATCTGTCCTCTCCATGCATTAATGTGAATGGACTAAATCCCTGCTTATTATAGTAAAGGATTGTAATGAAGGAAAGATCATGCCAGTATTGTATACCACAAGCCATTTTTTTTTTAACACTCCTGTCGCCTCCCTCCGAGGTTGGTTGACACGAAAAAGAAGAAACACTTCCTTTTACATTTAGTAATACAAACATGTATTACTGAAAAAAGAATTTCAAAGTATAGTCAAGCCTGCAAATTTAAGAGGGTTCTGTTCCTAAAAGTCTCATGAATCTGCAATTCATGAGATTTTTAGGATAAAACAATTAGTAACTCTGCACCTCCTCCTAATCTTCATTCTATGAACTCTCTGCATAATATTTACACCACACATTGCCATCAGACATGACAGTTCCACTGCTTCCAGCCTCCTCCTTACTGTAAAGTTAACTACCCATGCTACCAATACTCTAATATGAGAGTGAAGCATGCTACCAACACTCTTATATGAAAGAGAAGCACATTACCAACTCTCTTATATGAGAGTGAAGCACACTACCAACACTTATATGAGAGTGAATCATGTTACCAACACTCTTATACGCGAGTGAAGCATACTACCACCATTCGTATATGAGAGTGAATCATGCTACCAACGTTCTTATGTGAGAGTGAATCATGCTACCAACACTCTTATATGGGTGTGAAGCATGGGGTTGTGAATGTTGCAGCAAGGAGAAGGCTAGAGGTAGTGGAGATGTCATGTCTGAGGGCAATGTGTGGTGTCAGTATTATGCAGTATATTCATAGCTTGGAGATTAAGAGGTGTGGAGTACTAACAGTATTATCTAGAAAGCTGAGGAGAGGGTGTTGAGGTGGTTTGGACATTTAAAGAGGGTAGAGCAAAATAGGATGATTTGAAGGTGTATAAATCTGTAGTGGAGGGAGGACAAGGTAGGAGTTGCCCTAGGAAAGATTCGAGGTAAGGAGTAAAGGAGGTTTTGTGTGTGAAAGGCTTGAACATCCAGCAGGCACGTGTGAGTGTGTGAGATAGGAGTGGAGCAGATGGTTTTTGGGACTTGACAAATTGTTCGAATGTGAGCAAGGCAACATTTTCTGAAAGGATTCAGGGAAACCAGTTAGCCAGACTTGAGTCCCGTAGGTGGGAATTATAGTGACTGCACTCTGAAGAGGTGAGGATATTTGCAGTTTGGAGGGGCATCAGAAATGTAGTATCTGCATGCCTCTGACAGGATAGTGACAGAGTGAATGATGAGTCACCCTACCTTGGCAGGAGACAGCCAGTGTGTTAAAAAAAAATGGGTTTCTTGGTATTAAGAATTAATAATGTTCTTAATATATTGACTTACTTTGATCACAGAATTTCCATCAATGTCTTGTTCGGCAAACCACTTTGCAATATCAGTGAGTCGGGAAGCACGTATACAGTTGTATTCTTCTGGACTTGGCTTAGACAGGCCTTCTCGATACCTGAAAGTTTTGTTAAATGCTCAGTTAAAAAAAAAAAAGCACTTAAATCTTAAATTTTGGTTATATAGCAAAAAAAAAATTTATATGATGATAAACATCAAATCTTGAAACTGGCATGGTGCCAGATAAGTGGAAAATGGCAAATGTGATACCTATTTTCAAAGCAGGTGACAGGTCCTTAGCTTCAAACTATAGACCAATAAGCCTAACCTCCATAGTGGGAAAATTTATGGAATCAATAATTGCCGAGGCAGTTCGTAGCCACCTTGAAAAGCATAAATTAATCAACGAATCTCAGCATGGTTTTACAAAGGGGCGTTCCTGCCTTACGAATTTGTTAACTTTTTTCACTAAGGTATTTGAGGAGGTAGATCATGGTAATGAATATGATATTGTGTACATGGACTTCAGTAAGGCTTTTGACAGGGGCCACATCAGAGACTATTGAGGAAAATTAAGGCACATGAATAGGAGAATTTTTTTCCTGGAAAGAGGCATGGTTGACAAATAGGCAGCAGAGAGTTTGCATAAATGGGAGAAATCAGAGTGGGGGAAGCGTCACGAGCGGTGTTCCACAGGGTCAGTGTTGGCCCCTGCTGTTCACAAAATACATAAACGACATAGATGAGGGCATAAAGAGCGACATCAGCAAGTTTGCCGATGACACCAAAATAGGCCCTCGAATTCATTCTGACGAGGACATTAGAGCACTCCAGGAAGATTGAGTAGACTGATGCAGTGGTCGGAGAGGTGGCAGATTTCGGTTTAATATAGACAAATGCAAAGTTCTAAATGTTGGACAGGACAAAAACCATGCCACATATAAACAAATAATGTAGATCTTAATATTACGGATGGCAAAAAAGATTTAGGAGTTCTGGTTTGCAGTAATCTGAAACCAAAACAGTGCATAAGTGTTCGCAATAAACCTAATAGAATCCTTGGCTTTATATCAAGAACATAAATAATAGGAGTCCTCAGGTTGTTCTTCAAACTCTATAAAATCCTTGGTTAGCCTCATTTAGATTATGCTGCACAGTTTGGTCACCGTATTACAGAATGGAAAATAAATGCTCTGGAAAAAAGTACAAAGGAGGATGACAAGTTGATCCCATGTATCAGAAACCTTCCCTATGAGGATAGACTAAGGGCCCTGAATCTTCACTCTCTAGAAAGACGTAGAATTAGGGAGGATATGATTGAGGTGTATAAATGGAAGACAGGAATAAATAAAGGGGATGTAAATAGTGTGCTGAAAATATCTAGCCTAGACAGGACTCGCAGCAATGGTTTTAAGTTAGAAAAATTCAGATTCAGGAAGGATATAGGAAAGTACTGGTTTGGTAATAGAGTTGTGGATGAGTGGAACAAACTCCCAAGTACAGTTATAGAGGCCAGAACGTTGTGTAGCTTTAAAAATAGGTTGGATAAATATATGAGTGGGTGTGGGTGGGTGTGAGTTGGACCTGATTAGCTTGTGCTACCAGGACGGTTGCCGTGTTCCTCCCTTAAGTCAAGGTGACCTGACCTGACTAGGTTGGGTGCATTGGCTTAAGCCGGTAGGAGACTTGGACCTGCCTCGCATGGGCCAGTAGGCCTGCTGCAGTGTTCCTTCGTTCTTATGTTCTTATTATAATCATGGGAAAATGCTAAACCTATAGGGGTCATAGTGACTGAGGAATGGGAAGTAATCAGGTTTGATCTAAAGAAGGTTAAGAATAGCTTCAACTCCTCCAATCAAGAGACCTTTACCAACATGAAGGCACCCCTCCCAGTGAAAGTGTGTCTTTAATATGCTGAATACATAATTTTTTTTTTTTTCCATATTTTGATGTTTTTACAAGTTCTACATTAAACTGTTATTGCAGTCCTATTGTTTGATTGCCCCAACTTGAAAAAAAAATGAAAACTAATATTTATATCACATATTCATTCTCTATATTCATTAACTTTTTTCACCCAAATGCTTCCCTTCTTAGTTTTATTTCATATGTTCCAATCCGAGACTATAGTATTTAAGAGCTTGATGCAACAATGTAAAATTATTTATATAAAACCTTTGCAATGACGAATTAGACTAAAATAAACTGGTGTAGCATGTGTACATGAGATACCTTTACATATCATCAAGACCTGTACATGAGTTACACCCATTTTTAACATAGGTAAAAATAAAAAGTCTGTGGATCATATAAATGATTATGCCACTCAAGTGTTTAAGATATGGTAGAGACTATGATGAATATTGTTTTAGTAACTGTGTGAACATAACATACTGTGTAAATGCTCAAATATGCCAGGTACTGTGTTGTATAAATATCGCTGAATATGCCGGATGATCTCAATCTGAATACTGCTGGGTTTGACTGACTGTACTGTACTACTGAAAGGTCTAACATTCAAATGAACCCATAGAACTGCTAGCCTTTTATGCTCACTGGCTAAATTTACAGAATATGTAGACACAGTAGTTATGACAAGGCTCAACTACATGAATTAAGAGGTACGACCAGGCACTGGGGTGCAGCCCATGCAACTCCAATAGGTAATTACTGTACAAATAGATAATTACTTGGCTGAATGATAATAAGCCAGAAATAACAGAACTACTTACTTGTATTTGCTTAACATTTTTTTAAGTGGTTCAAAGCCTTGCAGGTCCCAGTCTTCTACTAGTGGCACCTCAGAATCTGGAGTAAAAATTTAACTGAGTATTAAACAGAAGTATGTACACTATATACACTATAACTCTAACACTGATTAGTGTTAATGGCACTTATATTAATAACTTTAATCTTTGTCTTTCTTGAAGTTTTAGAATGCCAAAAAAATAAAAAGACATAAGGTCAATGCAGTTAATATTTGAAAAACTACATGAGAATATTCAGTGAAGAACTTAAAACAAGCTGTCGGAATGTGAGCAACGTAACATTTATGAAAGGATTCAGGGAAATTGGTTAGCCAGACTTGAGTGCTAATAGTGGCAAGTACAGTGTTTGCACTGCAATGTCATCACACTTCTGGCAAGTGATTGAGTGATTGATGGTGAATGTGTTTCCTATTTTTTTTTTTTAATCAAGCTACCTCAGTGGAAAATGGCCAGTGTGTCACAAAAACATTTATATGAACATGTATACAGCACAGTACATACATTTGCTAGCATCAAAAGAGCCTAAAGGCTGCTGCAAGTTGTTGACCAACGTGCAGAGTCCAGGCCATATCTGCTGTTTATTCTTCATAGCTTCTGACATAAACATCCCCTTCTCACAATGAACCCATTCAAACACCAGACGAACTGAAATAGATGCATACAATTGTAAAAAAAAATTATGAAAAACAATGTACAATAGTGAGCACAGAAATAGACAATGCAAATTAATAATAATAATAAACACGCTAGATAACAGGGATATCTTGCTACTCCAACTTACACTTTGGTCACACTTCACAGACACGCACATGCATATATATATACATACATCTAGGTTTTTCTCCTTTTTCTAAATAGCTCTTGTTCTTTATTTCTTCTATTGTCCATGGGGAAGTGGAAAAGAATCTTTCCTCCGTAAGCCATGCATGTCGTATGAGGCAACTAAAATGCCGGGAGCAATGGGCTAGTAACCCCTTCTCCTGTAGACATTTGCTAAAAAAGAGAAGAAGAAAAACTTTATAAAACTGGGATGCTTGAATGTGCGTGGATGTAGTGCGGATGACAAGAAACAGATGATTGCTGATGTTATGAATGAAAAGAAGTTGGATGTCCTGGCCCTAAGCGAAACAAAGCTGAAGGGGGTAGGGGAGTTTCAGTGGGGGTAAATAAATGGGATTAAATCTGGAGTATCTGAGAGAGTTAGAGCAAAGGAAGGGGTAGCAGTAATGTTGAAGGATCAGTTATGGAAGGAGAAAAGAGAATATGAATGTGTAAATTCAAGAATTATGTGGATTAAAGTAAAGGTTGGATGCGAAAAGTGGGTCATAATAAGCGTGTATGCACCTGGAGAAGAGAGGAATGCAGAGGAGAGAGAGAGAGAGATTTTGGGAGATGTTAAGTGAATGTATAGGAGCCTTTGAACCAAGTGAGAGAGTAATTGTGGTAGGGGACCTGAATGCTAAAGTAGGAGAAACTTTTAGAGAGGGTGTGGTAGGTAAGTTTGGGGTGCCAGGTGTAAATGATAATGGGAGCCCTTTGACTGAACTTTGTATAGAAAGGGTTTTAGTTATAGGTAATACAAATTTTAAGAAAAAGAGGATAAATAAGTATACAAGATATGATGTAGGGTGAAATGACAGTAGTTTGTTGGATTATGTATTGGTAGATAAAAGACTGTTGAGTAGACTTCAAGATGTACATGTTTATAGAGGGGCCACAGATATATCAGATCACTTTCTAGTTGTAGCTACACTGAGAGTAAAAGGTAGATGGGATACAAGGAGAATAGAAGCATCAGGGAAGAGAGAGGTGAAGGTTTATAAACTAAAAGAGGAGGCAGTTAGGGTAAGATATAAACAGCTATTGGAGGATAGATGGGCTAATGAGAGCATAGGCAATGGGGTCGAAAAGGAATGGGGGTAGGTTTAAAAATGTAGTGTTAGTGTGTTCAGCAGAAGTTTGTGGTTACAGAAAAGTGGGTGTGGGAGTGAAGAGGAGCGATTGGTGGAATGATGATGTAAAGAGAGTAGTAAGGGAGAAAAAGTTAGCATATGAGAAGTTTTTACAAAGTAGAAGTGATGCAAGGAGGGAAGAGTATATGGAGAAAAAGAGAGAGGTTAAGAGAGTGGTGAAGCAATGTAAAAAGAGAGCAAATGAGAGAGTGGGTGAGATGTTATCAATAAATTTTGTTGAAAATAAGAAAAAGTTTTGGAGTGAGATTAACAAGTTAAGGAAGCCTAGAGAGCAAATGGATTTGTCAGTTAAAAATAGGAGAGGAGAGTTATTAAATGGAGAGTTAGAGATATTGGGAAGATGGAGGGAATATTTTGAGGAATTGTTAAATGTTGATGAAGATAGGGAAGCTGTGATTTCGTGTATAGGGCAAGGAGGAATAACATCTTGTAGGAGTGAGGAAGAGCCAGTTGTGAGTGTGGGGGAAGTTCGTGAGGCAGTAGGTAAAATGAAAGGGGGTAAGGCAGCCGGGATTGATGGGATACAGATAGAAATGTTAAAAGCAGGTGGGGATATAGTTTTGGAGTGGTTGGTGCAATTATTTAATAAATGTATGGAAGAGGGTAAGGTACCTTGGGATTGGCAGAAAGCATGCATAGTTCCTTTGTATAAAGGCAAAGGGGACAAAAGAGAGTGCAAGAATTATAGGGGGATAAGTCTGTTGAGGAATGTATGAGAGTATGAGAGTATAGTTTTACCAACGCTCTTATATGGGTGTGAAGCATGGGTGATGAATGTTGCAGTGAGGAGAAGGCTGGAGGCAGTGGAGATGTCATGTCTGAGGGCAATGTGTGGTGTGAATATAATGCAGAGAATTCGTAGTTTGGAAGTTAGGAGGAGGTGCGGGATTACCAAAACTGTTGTCCAGAGGGCTGAGGAAGGGTTGTTGAGGTGGTTCGGACATGTAGAGAGAATGGAGTGAAACAGAGTGACTTCAAGAGTGTATCAGTCTGTGGTGGAAGGAAGGTGGGGTAGGGGTCGGCCTAGGAAAGGTTGGAGGGAGGGGGTAAAGGAGGTTTTGTGTGCGAGGGGCTTGGACTTCCAGCAGGCATGCGTGAGCGTGTTTGATAGGAGTGAATGGAGACAAATGGTTTTAATACTTGACGTGCTGTTGGAGTGTGAGCAAAGTAACATTTATGAAGGGGTTCAGGGAAACCGGCAGGCCGGACTTGAGTCCTGGAGATGGGAAGTACAGTGCCTGCACTCTGAAAGAGTGGTGTTAATGTTGCAGTTTAAAAACTGTAGTGTAAAGCACCCTTCTGGCAAGACAGTGATGGAGTGAATGATGGTGAAAGTTTTTCTTTTTTGGGCCACCCTGCCTTGGTGGGAATCGGCCAGTGTGATAATAATAATAAAATAATAATTATATGTTGAAAACAATAATTACGGATATCTAGAAAATACTAAACAAATAGGATTACTGTATGTATTATTTACAGCTGACTGGCAATTAAGATGGAAGTTATATTCTTGAAAATGGAGTTTAATAAAAAATTGTCTAAAACAAAGTGAAAAAACACTGAACTGTTTTTCTTCAGGTTCTTCCTCATTTTCCTCTGTTATCTGCCTCCTAAGTATCTGAGCATTGAGCTCTGCCAACATTTCCTCTGGACTTCTGTCTTTATCATCATCATCATCTAAGAGCTCATTCACATAAATTTTCTGAACCTGGCTCTTAAATAAGGAAAAAACTGTGAAAGTATTCACTATACTAGGCCATAACTTTCCCAAGTATGAATTTAATGTTGGTTGGGGGAACCTTGTTCCATGCACTTCTCACATAGATGATGACATCTGGAATGTTCAATATATGCCAAAAGTTTGGCACTGCAAGCTCAGAGTAAATGTCCACTGCTGTAATGAGTTTCTGCCTCACTAATAATTCCATAATCCAGTGGTCGTAATAAAAATGTTGCATTTGGTGGTAAAAACATAACTTTTACATGTGGATGCACCTCCAAGAAAAACTTCTGGATGAGTATGGGAATTATCAAGAGTGAAGAGAACCTTTAATGCAAAATTCTTGCTGCACAGGTAAAACATAATTACAGGAATAATGTGATGCTTAAACCAGCCAATAAATAATTTCTTCGCTATCTATGCTAATATATTTGATCTCCACAGAACTGGTAAGGTGGTTTTATCTACACCTTTCAAAACACAAGGAATCTTGGAGTGGTATATAACCATGGGCTTACACTTTAAACTGCCTGATGTATTACTGCAAAGGAGCAAGCTGAAGTAATCCTTTGCTGCCTTGAATCCAGGTAGACTTTTTACTTGCTGATTTATGCAGGTTCTTGATGGCATCCTTTTCCAAAAAAGACTTATTTCATTAGCATTAAACATATGCTGTGACTCAGCCATCCTCAGAATTAATTTTCTCCAATTCAGCAGGAAATTCCTTGCAGTTGAAGCACTTTCACCAGAAAACTTAATATTATGTAACCGATTACACAACTTGAAACTTGTGGAACCAGTTTGTGCCAAAGCTGCACTCTTCTTCAGGCCTTTCTTCCTCATCACACACTGTTTTTTTTAGCACTCTAAAGCTTTTATTCCTTACAAAAATAACCCGCACATAGAAGAGAGGAGCTTATGATGACGTTTCAGTCCGACTTGGACCACTTACAAAGTCAAGCTGTGCCTTTTTTTTTATCCTTAATAAGATGAAATTAAGTGATGCCCCTTTCTTGAGTTTTTGCTCAATCCACTGCAGTGTTTGCTCTTTGTTATGTTCTTACTGTATTTAGTTGTTGTGACTTATGTGTCATTCTCTTCAGGAAGTCACAACCTGGGTTACTCAATGCACAAGTCTGTATCTCTGCCTTGTTCCTTTTAAATAAACAAACTGATGTTCCACTGAGACCACAGGCTCTTGTTGTCTCACCACATTTGAGCTTATCTAATATCTCAATTTTCTCCATAACACCAAGACTTGAACATTTAAACTTCTTCTTGTCATTTCCACCATCACTCATATTCCTTTTGGGTGCCATAGTTACTATGCAGACACAAGATATGATGATGAAAAGATAAAAAATCAGTTCACTAACACAGAGCTGCGTATGGTACGAGACGTGTATGTATGAAGCACTGAGGCATAAGGGATTGTGTACGTTAAGTCTGACTAGGCCTCCCCCACAGGGTGGCTGCCCATGAGATGGAAGGAAAAGCTTGTGCAACCCAGTCCTACAGAACTCCATATTATTTTCCCCTAATTTGCACTGTCATAAAACAACTTCATGGAGTCACAATAAAAAAAAATGCTGCAATTTTGTAACAATCACATAACAAAAACATCCTAGAAGATTCATTCAATCAATGGGTCTTTCTGAGGAACGTTCGCACATCTTCTCTCATAACAAAAAATCTTGAGAACAAGAAATGAATATGCCGTCACACTGGCGATGTGGGTCAGTCCACCCTGAAAACCATCGTCTGAGAGTATATTAAAAGTGGCAGATGGTGCAAGTTAGGCATGTGTTGAAATTTTATGAGACCATTTCCTGTCTTAAGATTCGTGTGATGGATATTAAGAGGGCTGCAAAGCGTTTCTATAAGATAAAGGGGACATGCAATTTATAAAAGGGTTATTGAACCACACTACAAACCTAAATAACTTTTGGGTCTATAATACTGGGTCTCGTGTAATTAGGGATCTACTTACATGAAAATGGTTACACGACCGAGGCTTCAGGAGCTTTAACGGTTTAAAGCCCCCTGGACATCCAACAAGATTGATGGATGACCACACGACCAAGGTTAGGGACTGATACCTTCCTGTTCTTCAGACCTTTTTAGACATGAGCATGTGTGGCGAAGTTCCATAAATACCAAGTGAAGTGTCAATTTACAAATGTGGTTCGAACATTCATACAACCAAAGATGCTCTAATCAATGGACGTACATGGCACATCTTCCTAAACAAAAAGCAGAAAGAGCTGCCAACTGGCTTGGGGCAGTGACCCCTGAACCTCAGGATAGAGTAATAATGAGATCATTGAGCAATTTTTGTGAATATTATCAACAATTCAGAGCTAGAATTAGTGTGAGTTTTTAGAGGGCAGAGGGTAGTGTAGACATTTGGGAATGAAGCAATAAGATAACTAGCATGTATAAACCTGGGCTCAAGTAGATCGTCTCGAAGTAGGAGGGGTAAAGAGCTTTAGGTGCTAAGAGCTTGACATAACAGACTGGTGAGAATACAGAAAGGTGAATGAGGCAAGTGGTTTTATAACAATGCTGTTGGATGTGAAGAATATAACTTTATAAGGATTTCGAATAAAACCCTCTGATTCTAGAAGAGGGCTGCTGCAGTTTGGAGCCCTCTGTACTGTGACTATACACCATAGATTTTCTATGTAGATGAAACTGGGATGTTTCCATTCAAATTCTAAGATATATAAAGTGGTAGAGGGCAGCAGCTACACTATTTGGGCTCAAAAATGAGTTGCTGGATCTTTACTCAGATACAAAACTACTCATTTCTTACCACCACACAAACTTTATGTCTATAAGGTGGAGTAGAGTATACTGGAGGGCCCCGCATATTTGGAACCCTCTTTGGTATTCCACATTTTTGGTGGTTTTCAACTGAACCATAGTTCATTATAATCGGTGATTTCTCTGATTTTCTACTGTTTTGGCACAACAGTTGTATAAAGGAAGGGCATCCAGTGTTATACTGTAAGGTAAGTATTGTATGAACTGTGCATTTTTTACTTACATTAGATAAAAGGACACAAGTGCAACTAATGTGACATTTTATTGTGGCAACATTTCGCTCTCCAGAAGCTTTATCAAGCCGTTTTTTTACTTTTGTATCTTTTTTTTATGCCTAGCTGTATTCAGCACTTAATATATGATAGTGTAAACACATTATCAGGCATTATCAGCATTGAAAAAACTGTTCTTTTCCACTCGCAAACGATTTACACTCATCACTAGGGTTCGGGAACCTAGCAGCCATAAATATGGGGCCCTGCTGTATTATACAATTAAAATGACTGACACATATAACTACTTTATAGAAAGCCACTTATTATGGAAAGCATTTTGGGCATCCTTAAAACTGGATTATGATTACAAGTTTATGGCTGCCTGAAATGCTTGGCATAATATGTTGCTATAATGCAATTTTGTCATAGGTAAAAGCATTTAGTTTTTAATCAAATTTGCTTAGGTTCCACATATATGTCACTGGTACAAATGCAATGCTTCCATATTTATTTGGTACAAATTGGCAAAGTACAAAAAATCTGGCTCTGTATATGCAATCACATAGAATAAGAATTCTATTAAAAACATGTTCTGATATATGGCATTTTGATAACCAGTAAAATCAATTTTATCATAGAGCTCCTCTATACTGATAATTTTTTGTAAATGCAATTGGAAAAGCATAAATAATTGAATAATGCATGGAAAGGCCTTCATAGCAAGTGCTATTCAATTTTTGATGCACTTTTTCAATTTCAGTTATGAAAAACTGCACCATTTAGAAAAGATTTTTAAGAGGGCAGATAAAACAGGCATAATAGAATGGATCTGTCGTTTAATAAGAATTTCCTCAAGAGTATTCTCATTCTATCTCTCTCTCATTCTCTCTCTCTCATTCACTCTCTCTCTCTCCTCTCTCATTCTCTCTTCTTTCCTCATTCTTCTCTTCTCTCTCTCATTCTCCTCTCTCTCTCTCTCTCTTCTCATTCTCTCTCTCTCTCTCTCTCATTCTCTCTCTCTCATTCACTCTCTCTCTCTCTCTCTCTCATTCTCTCTCTCTCATTCTCTCTCTTTCTCTCATTCTCTCTCTCTCTCTCATTCTCTCTCTCTCTCTCATCTCTCTCTCTCTCTCTCTTTCTCTTCTCTCCTCTCTCTCTCTCTCTCTCTCTTCTCTCTCTCTCTCTCTCATCTCTCTCTCTCTCTCTCTCTCTCTCTCATTCTCTCTCATTCTCTCTCTCTCTCATCTCTCTCTCTCTCTCTCTCTCTCTTCTCATTCTCTCTCTCTCTCTCTTCTCTCTCTCTCTCTCTCTCTCTCTCTCTCTCTCTCTCTCTCTCTCTCTCTCTTCATAATGATAATACCTATTTCAATTTCTCATTCCATGTTGTAATTTTTACATAAGTGAATTGTAGAAATTTTGTAGCATTAAACTCTCTACCTGAGAGGTTGCAAGACCACCAGCACCAGAAGTGTCAGTTACCTGCAGGGAGGGCAGGGTAGGCCATGAGCTGGTCGGGATCACGGATAGTGTGCACAGGCAGGAGCAGTGCTGCCAACACACCAACTGTCAACTCCTCCACCACTTCCAGACAACCTTCACACCTGAAATGCAATATACTGTACAATTTACTGAGCACAAATTTCATTAAAGCACAATGCTGTAGATGCACATCAAAACTTTTGCTAACTTCAACAATTTATACAAAGCAGCAAAATTTTTAATTCATGAATATTCTACATATAAATTATTTGAATCTACTGTATTTCATAATATAAATTTATAGAAAGCAAAATATAATGGAGATTTTCAGCTTCAAGCTTTTGGTATTTTAAACTTGTTGTGGCACCTAGACAATCCATGTTGCTAATACATGTATTAATAAATAATATTAGTATTGAAATACTGTACATGCACACCCTCTCAGCTACGATACAATAACTTGTGTTAAACTTCTTCCAATTTCCTAATTGTAGTTACAATTTTGGCACCCCTATCATTATAATAACATTTTGTTAACACACCACCGCCGGAGAGGAGAGTTATTAAACGGAGAGTTACAGGTATCGGGAAGATGGAGGGAATATTTTGAGAAATTGTTAAATGTTGATGAAGATAGGGAAGTGTGATTTCGTTTATTGGGCAAGGAGGAATAACATCTTATAGGAGTGAATAAGAACCAGTTGTGAGTGTGGGGGAAGTGCATGGGGCAGTGGGTAGATTGAAAGGGGGTAAAGTAGCTGGGGTTGATGGGATAAAGATGGAAATGTTGAAAGCAGGTGGGGATATAGTTTTGAAGTGGTTAGTGTTTTTATTTAATAATTGTATGGAAGAGGGTAAGGTACCTAAGGATTGGCAGAGAGCATGCATAGTTCCTTTGCATAAAGGCAAAGGGGACAAAAGAGAGTGTAAAAATTATAGGGGAAGAAGTGTATACCTGGTAAAGTGTATGTTAGAATTATTATTTAAAGAATTAAAAGTAAGGTGGAGAGCAGGATAGCAAATGAACAAGGAGGCTTTAGGAAGGGTAGGGGGTGTGTAGACCAAGTGTTTGCAGTAAAACATAAAGGTGAACAGTATTTAGATAAGGGTAAAGAGGTTTTTGTGGTATTTATGGATTTGAAAAAGGTGTATGATCAGGTGGATAGGGGGGGCAATGTGGCAGATGTTGCAAATGTATGGAATAGGAGGTAGGTTACTGAAAGCAGTGAAGAGTCTTTACAAGGATAGTGAGGCTCAGGTTAGAGTAATGTAGGCTGGAGGGAGATTATTTCCCAATAAAAGTAAGCCTTAGACAGGGATGTTTGATGTTACCAGGGTTGTTCAATATACGTATTTATAGATGGAGTTGCAAGAAAAGTGAATGCTCGGGTGTTGGCAAGAGGTGTCGAGTTAAAAGATAGAGAGTCTAACACAAAGTGGGAGTTGTCACAGCTGCTCTTTGCTGATGACATTGTGCTTTTGGGAGATTCTGAAAAGAAGTTGCGAAGGTTGGTTGATGAGTTTGGTAAGGTATGTAGAATAAGAAAATTAAAAGTGAATATAGGGAAGAGTAAGGTGATGAGGATAACAAAAAAATTAGGTAACAGAAGACTGGATATCAGACTGGAGGAAGAGAGTATGGAGGAGTGAATAAGAACCAGTTGTGAGTGTGGGGGAAGTGCATGGGGCAGTGGGTAGTGGGTAGAATTTGTGCATGGGGCTCAACAACAATTAACCATCTCAGACCACTAATTACCCAACAAAAGGCTGCAGTCAGAATGATAACAAATTCCCACTACAGGCAGTACACTCCACCATTATTCAAAACACTAAACCTACTCACCATACAAAACATCCATACTTATTACTGCACCTATTACATACATAGAACACTTAACTCTGATATTAACCCTCCCCTCAAACATCTCCTTGCCAACCTCAACAGAACACATGGCCATAACACAAGGCACAGATCACTCTTTGATGTTCCTCGTGCCCATCTCACGCTATGCAAAAACTCAATGCACATAAAAGGCCCTAAAATCTGGAATTCATTACCTGTAAATATAAAAGAAACACTACCTGTTTATAAATTCAAGTCTCTTCTCAAAGATCACTTACTCACCCAAAACCAAATAAATACTGAATAACTGAATCTTATAAATTGTATATCTTAAATGTTTCTCACAATTATATCAGATAAATGTTAAACCTAAGACCCAATCTAACTTTGTTATTATTTAAATACACTACCTAACGGAATACTCCATTCTACTGAATGTACAGCAATGCATGCAACCATATGACCTGTCTTTGTAATACTCATTTGTGCTTTATTATTATCTGTTTACAATAATGTTTTATCACTGATTACATCATTGCTTAGTTAATCTTAAGTTAATTTTAAGCCAGCCCATAATGGTATGCATACAAGTGGCTTTGGCATGCTGCTCTTACCTGTATTTTTTTGTACCTCTGTATGTTCAAATTATTAAATAAATAAATAAATAAATAAATGTATTAAGATACTTGGTAGTGGACGTGTCAGCAGATGGGTCTATGAAAGATGAGGTAAATCATAGAATTGACGAGCGGAAAAAGGCGAGTGATGCACCGAGGAGTCTGTGGAGACAAAGAACTTTATCCATGAAAGCAAAGAGGGGAATGTATGAGAGTATAGTTATAATAATGCTCTTGTATGGGTGTGAGGCATGGGTTATGAATGTTGCAACAAAGAGAAGGTTGGAGGCAGTGGAGATGTCATGTCTGAGGGCAATGTGTGGTGTGAATATAATGCAAAGAATGCTTAGTTTCGAGATTAGGAGGAGGTGTGGGATTACCAAAACTATTATCCAGAGGGCTGAGGAGGGGTTATTGAGATGCTTTGGACATGTAGAGAGGATGGAACAAATAAAATGACTTCGAGAATGTATAAATCTGTAGTGGAGTGGAGGCATGGTAGGAGTCGGCCTAGGACAGGTTGGATGGAGGGGGTAAAGGAAGTTTTGTGTGCGAGGGGCTTGGACTTCCAGCAAGTGTGCATGAATGTCTTAGATAGGAGCAAATGAAGACAAATGGTTTTTAGGACCTGACGTGCTGTTGGAGTGTAAGCAAGGTAACATTTATGAAGGGATTCAGGGAAACTGGTAGGCCAGACTTGATTCCTGGAGATGGGAAGTACAGTGCCAGCACTCTGAAGGAGGGGGCTAATGTTGCAGTTTTATAACTGTAGTGTAAGCATGCCTCTGGCAAGACAGTGATGGAGTGAATGATGATGAAAGTTTTTTCTTTTCGGGCCACCCTGCCTCGGTGGGAAACGATCAATGTGTTAATAATAAAAAAATAAAATAACCACTACCCATCTCCTACCAAGGATGGGTGACATGAAAAAGAGTAAACACTTTCAGTTGTTCATTCAATAACTGTCTTGCTAACCTTGTGATGATATCACAGTTCAGATGACCCTCTGAACTGCAACATCCCTACCCTCCTACAGAGTGCAGGCACTGTACTTTCCAACTTGAAGACTCAAGTGTGGCTAACTGGTTTTCCTGAATCCCTTCACAAGCATTACATTGCTTACATTCCTACAGCATGTCAATTCATAAAAACCTCTTGCCTTCACTCACTCCTATATAACATGCTCAAACAGGCAATGAAATCCTGGTTTCCTATGCTATTTTACTCTCCCTTAACAAGATGGTGCCCTTCATACCGACTCTGCTAGAGTTTCTGAATGTTATGACTTAACATATAATTTTTAATGGCCTCTAAAACAGTTATACACACAACTATCTGTATCTAAGTGTGTTGTGAATGAGATATGCAAAAAAATTACTCTTTAGGATCCCTTGGTTTTTCTAGCTTCTCTTCGTCCTTCCTGGTGGTAGTGGTTTCCTCGCTAGTCTTAATCTTCACAGCTCCAGAGAAGTAGTTTAGGGCAAACAAATTCACCAGCACCATCTGCATAGGAAAGGAAAAACTTGGACCACAGGAACTTCACAGGGTGGGAGGGAAACAGACAAAGTAATACCCTAAAGATGGTAGACCAAAGGTCTCAACAAAAGTCTGAAGTCATACTAAAAGGAAAAATAAAGAGGGGTGATAACTGAAACTGCTAACTCTAGTAATGTCTGCAATAATTCTATGGTTTGTAACGTTACAAAAGCCATAGATTCCTTCCTTAGTCTGGCTGACTGATTAGCAGAATGAGAATTAAGCCACCTCCACTCCCTGCACTCAATGACTACCATGGGTTTAGCACTCTATGTAAATAAATTTAATTATGAAGGCCTACATAATAAAGACAGGCTTAGCACTACAAATTAAATTATGAAGGTAATGTAAATAAATAAGATAATTAAAAATAAAGATAATGAGTATTATGAAGAGAACAGCAAGTGAAGAAATTAGAAGATAATGAGCTAGTATGAAAGAAATAATTCAGGTAGTGCAAAGGGCTTTGTTAAGATAGTTTGATTATTTAGAAATGGAATGAAGACTGAAATTCTAATCCTATCTTTTCCTCTTATCCTTTTTAAAGTTTTGAAATAATGTACATTATTAAAACTAAAAAATTACAGTAATTTCATACATTTTAATTAAAAATAGACTAATATGTACTAGGTCTGGAATAACTTATTATGATACCCTTTATAAAAACTGCATGCTCAGACCTAAAGACATTCCAGTTCCTCATAGAATCGTCAAATAAGCTGATTCCTCAAGTATGCAGCCTCAAAAAACTATGCTAGTTTTTTCTAATATACAAGTTTAAGTGATGGTTTATAAAAAAAAAAATTACAATGCCAGTTTCTGAAAAAAATTGGTTGCTAAGGTGCCAGTATTCAGTTTATTCTGCATGAATTATGCTTATGTATCCATCTTGGAGGATGTACCACTCTCACAAGGCAGAAAGATTAGAACACAGTACATAAAATATGACAGGGTGCACAGCAACGATGGAACACAATTTAATGGAAAGGCAATCAGATTTATGAATTCTGTTTACTACATTGGTAGTCTTTCACCAAGAAAGTTATAAAGTACAAAAAAGAATAGTTCTGAGTTTATGAAACATGAAACCAGGTGAAATGGAATATTCCCCTTGAACACAGAGTACTGTTGTTTTTATTTCAAGCAACTTAATCAAGAATAAAGCATTAGAAATTTAAATACACAGACTGTTGGAAAGAAATAACTATAAAATGCACTTTCATGTTTTGACACACACATTTTCAAAATCACAGGTAGCTGTTTATAAATGCATGACAGTACTCGTATAATCCCAACCCGTTATTTTTTCACTGTGGCAATTTTTCACACATACAGGTACATTTGTATAAAAATGGTTCAATGTTTTTTATGTACCTGAATGAGACTGGTTCTGGTGAAGGCATTAGTAGCGACCAGGGTGGAGAGGGCAGAGCAAAGAGTTGGAAGAGCCTCTCGAGCGCTGGTGGCATCACCGTGAAGGTACAACTGGGCATGGCACTGAAGAAAGAGGTTGGTGTACTCCTCTCCAGTGACTCGTGTTGACCCACTCAATTCACGGCTGCTACTGCACAAGTACAAATTTAATATTAAGTATAGGTAACTTTTTTTTAACACCAATAATTAATTTACTGTAAAACTTGTACAGGAGGACCCTTCTTAAACAGCAGGTTAGGTTCCAGCCTACCACTGTAAAGTGAATCATAGCCTTTTTTCACTTTCAAGTGCATATAAAAGCTTATAACATGTTTACACTATCAGATATTAAGTGAGCAATATAGCTAGGCCTAAAAAAATGCATATACAGTACACACATAACTTACCTTAAAATATTTTCATCTTTAGCTTATAGTGAGTGGTGAATATATTTATCATAGGAAGTCTGTATAAATAAAGAATAGATATAAATGAAAATGGCTGTACTGTATTAGTGAAACATGATACATACAGTGAAGTGCTGTAAAGTGGGGTCTGCCTGTATTATCCAAATGTTCCAAAAACTGTCTATGTGGATTAACCAATTTCTTTATAGTGAGCAGTTTAGAGGGACCTCTAAGCTGTCATATCTGCATGCCTTTGGTAAGACGGTGATAGTGTAAATGACGGTGAAAGTTTTTTTGGGGGTCACCCTACCATAGTGAGAGATGGCCAGTGAGTTAAAAAGAGAAAAATATTACTGTTGTAAGGGTGGCAGCAAGAGGTGGTTGTCTTTTTCCAACAAACTCAAAATTGAAACCAATGTGGCTGCCTTTTTCTACACACTTATAATCAAAATTAAAAAAATAACTAGCACAAGCTAAGCAGGTCTTATTCAAATCCAGCTCTTTCGCATATATTTCTCCCATCTATATTTTAAAATTACATCTGACCACCTGCCCCAATTTCCCTAATACACTGTTCCATGGACAAGATAAAAGCTCACTTGTGCATGAAATGTTGAACCAGTAGAGATTTCACGGTGTTTAGTGTCTATTTACTTACCACTTGTTGGCATTATGTCTTTACTCAGAAAAAAAAACACTAAGCAATTTCTAAAAGTGACAATGATGTACTCACTTGGAGGCGAGCAACTTGGAGAGAGTCTGTGTAAGGTTAGCAGGAGCACCAGGGAAGGGACAAGGCACACACATGGCCCGTACATACAGTGCCACTGCTGCCAGACGGTTGCCTCGTCCAGCTTCCAAAAGGGCAAGTTGATTATATGGATGACCACTGGTAGGGGCCACCATTACTGCATGTCTGCAAAAATCCAGCAATACAGAAACATACACCTGTGTCATAGTATACAATTTTCTGCTTCATCAAAATTATGATGAAGCAATCATTGGATTCAAACTCAATAGCAATGCCTCCTAATCTCTGGCAAGTGATTTAGCTAATAATTAACATCAGCTAACCTAGGGCTAGGTTTTTCTGTTGATTGCCTCTTCACTCAAATTGTTGCTATTGGCAGCCCACTGGCCCACACAGCCTGGTTGATCTGGCATAGGTAGCAATCTAATTAATTTTTTTTAAACCTTCTACACTTGTTCCAGCAATATTTCGGACATCTGCTGATATGCCTTTGATATGCCTTTGATATACCTTTGATGAGTTCTGAGAGTTCACATAATGACATCATTCTCTTACTGTACCCATGGAACCCTTACTTTTCAACAGACTATTTTACACTCCTTCCATATCTAAGCTTATTTCTTTCATCTCTCACATATTCTAACGATGTAAGACTAGCATGTCTGTCTCACACTTAATGGATGGAGAATTAAACCTTCGCTAATCTCTACACTGAATAAAGTACACATGTTCAGTGCTTCGTGTAAATATAATACTGTAATAATTTAGCACAGGAGATGGGAGCTAGTAACCCCTTCTGTATAAATTCCTAAATGTAAAAAGATGAAAATCTTCACACTGTCTTCTCTTTTGGGTCACTCTGCTTTGGTGGGAGATGGCACTGTGACAAAAAAAAAATAATCTAGCAACCCCAACGAGTAACATATGAAAAATCTAACTCACCTGTAATAGGTCTCAGCTTGCTTGGCCTGGTGGCGATATCTTGCTAGGTCACCGAGATGCACAAGGCAGTACTGGCACAAGTAGAGGGCATTCTTCAGACTGCTCACTTTGGACTTGCCCTGCGTAGACCCATTGAGATCTACAGCACCGTATATGCTGTCTTTCCTGTATTAGAGAGAATATCAATGCTCCTGAATTCTAATATAGATGCAAGAGGCTGGTAACTCCTTGTCCTGTGCTATTACAAAAAAGAAAAATATCTTTATGCATTATTAGCACAGCATAGAAAATATATCCAATTCTTGTTCCATATAAAAAGCACTTGAAAAAATATACCCCTCTAAGTTAAGAAATCCTGCTGTTCCACTGAGGAACAGTAGGATTTCTTAAAACATTTTCACACAATCAAAAACTGAATCTAACCTTCGAAATGGCAAGTCAAGGCCATATTCTGAGCATATTTGATTGAAAAGCTGCAAGTAGAAGCCACTGGCAGAGTTGAGAAACCAATTCAACATATCACGTGCTTCACTTGAGCTTCCCTGGAAATAAAATTCCAGATGTTAATTCAAAACACATCAGTATTTCGTGCATCCCAATCCATTTTTTCTTTCATTAAATTTGGGAACTAATTTGTTTTCAAATTTGCAAGGTGCTAGGACCAAAAACTTTAAAACCATGCAATAAAAGATTCTACACTCACACACATACACATACCACACACATACCCATTCACACAAGCTAATACAGTACTAAGATTAAAATATACTACATCAGCTAAAAAAAAAATCACTGTGCTAATAATGGAACTTTCTGTGGGCTCTATGGGTGCTCCAGTAGTAATTAAATCATTCTTGTACAGTATTCACTGAAAGCACTAATCCCATATGAGTCATTCTGTTTTGCACAGCAGAGAGAAAAACAGAGAGCATTAGAGAGGAAGTAACCCCAAAAGAAATATAATAACATTATACCTGAGGAACCTCCTAGCAAATCAGCGACAACCAAACCATGGTATCGGTAGGGTTAAAACTCATGGTAAGTGAGTCATGAAACTCCAGGTTTGATCCATGGGAAGGGAAAACAGGCCCAATTCCTTATATCAAGAGCCCCTTAAAGGTATCAAGGACCATTCCCTGAGGGGATAATCGGATTAAGGCTGGAAGTAGGCTCATACGTGCTTGCTAAATGCATTCCTTATTTGTTCCCTGCTTTCTTGTATCCCAATACAATAAGGTAACTTTTGCTCCAGAATGAAGTCAAACAAACATTAATAATTAGTTGAGATGATGTTCTAAGTACTCCTCCATGAATCATTTTAATACCTGAATGTATCTAAAATGTCTGTAGTGTGATTCAAGGATATAGGAATTTCCTGGCATAATACTGGAGTCAGTGATGTAAGCACATCAATTTGGCTAGTTCTGAAGTATATAAAAAAAATGCCAAGCATTTTGCCTCCACACCTGTTTATCCTTTGCTTGAGCTTGGAGCTGTGTTATGGTGTTCCTAAAGCCCAGGTTCCACAAGTCACGCTCCACTCCATGGTCCAGGGCCGCCTCAATCCAGTGGACCAAAAGCTGCCCACACACCACCTGAAAGCAGCAGTGTGGCACCTTAGTGCACTACAATACTGAAGATTGGCCAAATGTAGCTAGAGCACATGTGAAGAGTTTAAGAAAAAAAAGTCAAACTATTATAATACCATAAAATAAGTGTACCTGGAAATCAGACTAGCTAAAATCATTTACACTAAAAGTTTGATGATAAAAGCACCTCTTGATAGAGAAAGAAAAAATTTCCACAAATAATACAGTATAATGAACCCAAAATCAAGAGATGAACCTCAGTGGAAAAAAATGCTAAATCCCCCCTACTCAAAAAAAAAAAAAAATCAAAATCATTTTATGCCTAACAGAGTTGAAAATGATAAGCAAAAAAACAAATTTTTATTTATAAAACCTGTGGGCTTGACTGGTAAACCAAGGGATCCCCAAACACAAGTTTCAATCTCTCTTACATGGAATTTTCTTCATGTTTCATGGATAGTACTTCTGAAAAAAAATTTAAAAGTGGAAGTCAGCTCTATTTATAATAACTCCTGACATTCCTTGCTTCACTATTTATCCCAAAATAAGAATATTACATATGTGCTTTATTTTATAACTAGCAGAGCCCCAAAATCTGAAAAGAATGTGGTGTCCACAACAGACTGACTGGCACTGTCTTAACATAATGTAAACTGAAGAGGCATATCAAGATATCTGTAGTGTAGCAGTGCAGCATTATCATGGACAAAAGACTGGTATAACAAGAGTGACTGGTATAATAAAAGTGTGAGTGGCATAACAAGAAAAAGAAAAAAAAGAAAAAAAGAGCTATTGATATAACAAACCTGAAGTTGGTGTTGGACGGCCCAGGCCTCATTGTTGCCCACTAGTGGGGTACAAGTATTAAGACGACTCTTCAGACCCTCAGCCTCCCTGCATCAAAGAGGGAAGTAATATTTCTTTTTATTAAAATCTCTTGTTAATTACATCATTAAGGTACAGAAACTTTTTGAAACAGCTGTGAACATTGAAAACATCATAAGCCAACAAAGATAGAGGCAATAAGATGCATCGAACATCAATAAAATGGGTGCTACCATTTTTAACCATAACGTAAAATACTACTGCATTACGAATTTTTTTTATTTCCACTAATACACTACAAGTAATCTAATATGCATGGCATTTCAGAAGCAGCTAACAATTATACAAAAACTCAAGTTTTAAATATTTTATAAAGAATTTCCAGATTATGGATAAAAATAATAATGTAACATACTTTACAGAGCTATGGTTAAAAGATATTAAGAAAAAGCTGAATTGCAAGTTGGTATTAACAAAAAAAAAAAAAAACCCATAATGCAGTGGACCCCCAACTTACAATGTCCTCAACTTACGTTAAAACCGACTTACGATGCTAATCAGCGTAAAAATTTGACCCTGACACACGTTGAAAAATTCGACTTACATCATTCGTACCACGGTCAGCTGTACTACTCAAAGATGTGGAGAGACTGTTATTGGTGTGGCTTATCGAGAATACCGAGAAACAATTAACCCCAGAGGGTTAGCCACCCAGGATAACCCAAGAAAGCCAGTGTATCATCGAGGCCTGTCTAATTATTTCCATTGGGGTCCTTAATCTTGTCCCCCAGGATGCGACCCACACCAGCCGACTAACACCCAGTTGAACAGGAAAAAATGCCTGGAACTAGTGCTCATATTGGTAAATTTAAGGCCAGCAAAGGCTGGCTTGAGAGATTTAAGAATCATAGTGGCATACACAGTGTGATAAGGCCTGTTCTGGAAGAAAATGCCAAACAGGACCTACATTACTCAGGAAGAAAAGGCACTCCCAGGACACAGTATCTCATCACTACATCTTCAGTAAAGGTAAGTGTCATTTATTCTTCATTTGGTACACTAGTATATACACAATATATATTGTGCATGTATCCTCCTTTTTGTGTGTAGGAAAATGTATATTTCATGTGGTAAAAAATTTTTTTTTTATACTTTTGGGTGTCTTGAACGGATTAATATGATTACCATTATTTCTTATGGGGAAAATTAATTTGACTTACGATAATTTTGTCTTACGATATGCTCTCAGGAACGGATTAATATTGTAAGTCGGGGGTCCACTGTAATACTAATGCTAAGTACCAGGAAAATTAAACAATTACAGTAAGATGTTAACACTCCAATACTCTATACAGATAATGTCACAAAAACTGGAGTAGGGTAACAGTATAAGGATTATTATGTAGTAGAAATTAATAACTACCTGTATAATATAATAATTATGAAAATACATATTAAAAATGTATCTGGTATTAACAAGGTATATATTTCATTGTAAAACTGAGGTGGAACACAAGCATAAATGTTATCAGTAATGGCTCTGATACTATTAAGTAGATTTTCAGACCATATCTAGTTTATGCTATTAAAATTTATACAGTGATAATACCAGTAACAATTTTGCATTTCAAGCAAATATATACATGTACAGCCTCTCCTCACTTAACAACGAAGTTCCGTTCCTAAGACCACAGCGTTAAACGAATTCATCATTAAGTGAGGAGCATACTATAATGGTAATGAGTTTGTGTCAACCATCTTTGATATTGTTTTAATGTCACTTTTGCACCATTTATAACATTACTGGTATAATTTTAAATGTTTATACAGTAGTGTACTGTACATTGAAATAAACAGAATAAAGGAAATCAGCTCTAATATACATTATTTAGGCATGAATACTGGTCAGAGAGCCCATTGTAAGTCCGAGGTGTCGGTAAATGAGTACATCGCTAAGGCTGTACTTCAACATAAAAATAATTATTTATTTAAAAATGATGTAAGTGAATAGCTATGAGCTAACATAGCACGGCGAAGAGACGTGCTCAGCAAAGAATACATTAATAATAATAAAAATCAATACAAATTTATATTGAATAATAATAATTTATATAAATTACATGAGTTTTTCTTTTAAATTTGTTTAATTACTGTGTACTAGGGAACTTTTTTCCGAATACATATGAAACTATTTATTTAGAATTCTTATACAATGTACAGCATATAATTTTCTTTTGCAAAACCCATAAGGTGTGTAGCATTTTGGGGAAAGTCATAATATAAAAGTTAATTTAACGTATCAATACAATACTGTATGTCTCACACTTGTAAAAATGTGTTTATACAACATAGGGACATCAGTCCAGATAAAGATATACAGTGGAACCTCAGTACTCGAACAACTCCCTTCTTGAACAGTTTGATATTCAAACGCTTTGTTTGGCAAAAAAAAAAAAATCGCTTGGTAGCCAACTATTTGCTCAGCACTCGACCAAACAGACACGACCTGCCAGAACTTCGCTATAAACTATTTCAGGTTTCTTTGCATTTTTGGTGTTTTTTATATTATTTGTATAAATAAGTCACCATGGGGCCTATGAAGATTATTGATAACAGCCAACCAAAAAGAAAATTGGTTGGGAAAAATTTGTTTGGTACTTGAACAGATCGGCATTCAAACAGCCTTCCAGAACGAATTAAGTTCAAGTACCGAGGCTCCACTGTATGTATATATTTTTTTACACACTCGCCATCTCCCACTGAGGCAGAGTGACCAAAAAAAAAAAAAAAAAAAGAAAGACATTATTATGTAATTATTATGATTACTATTATTATTATTTATATTTCACTTAACATATCACTATTCAAATAAAGTAACTTAACTAAACATACTCAACTTGTGGTTCACAAGTAAATACACAGCTGTAATACTGCATGAACCTGTCACCACCTATGAAAGAATAGTTGCTATGACCAGGTTACTCAGAATGTAAAAATGTTGATCTCACAAAGAATTAAGCTGAACATCTTGGAAGTGGGAGTGCAGACGGAACCCCAAGATGAAACTACTACTTCTGCCTGACACATACTGTGTCAGGCAGAATTAATAGTTGACTCATTTATTATTTTTTGAGTATCAACTACATGAGGGTTATTAAAGCTGCCATACCTAAAATGAAGATCAAAGTAAACTCTCACCATATATACACTGAGATATACACACCTCTTGGTGTATATATTCTTCACTTCGAGTAGAAGGGTCATATTCTTATTTTTTAAGACAAAAGTATCTATTACCTCTTTTTATGACAACTGTAATAGCTTCAGTATCTAATCTAAGGTTTCCACCAAGGAAAATTTTCTTTTTAAATGCAAGTTATGCAGCATTAGATCAGCAAAACTGCCTAATGATGGAGCCAGTTATAGAGCTATTAATAAAGTATCCAGGTAGTGAGATAGGAAATAAAGGAGAACAAAAGTGACCTCTGTACAAGATATGGAAATACTGTAAGCAGATATTATCAGTCTTCAAGTGAGCAATGGAAAATAACTTGATGGTCATTGTGGTGAAACACAGGGACACCACAGGCAAAATAAGAGAACACAGTGTTAACATCCGTTGGTCGCAACTATTGAAGATATTGAAAAAGTTGCCAGGACAGGTGCAAAGATTTTAAAGAAAAAAAAAAGTGGACAACTACATCTGCAATGTGCCAGGTCAACCAGGCTGTGATGGCCACATGGGCTAGCTGGCAACCAACAGCAACAACCTGGGTAAACAGGAATTCATCATAGAAGCGTGGGCCCAGGCAGGGCTGCGAGGGCAATAAAAGAAAAACTCATAACCTGTTATAGGAATGTCATTGGTACAAGCTAATTAGTTTCACCACTTCCCAACTTCTTTCCTCTCCTTTACTACTTTCTTCTCTCCTCTTCTTCACCTCCTTTCTCTCTCCTCTCCTTCAATCTCATCTTCACTTTCCATATCTCTCTTCTGTCATCTTCAATCCCATCTGCTTCACTTCCCACCACTATCCTCCTCTTCAATCCCATCTTTCACTTCCCACCTCTCTCCTCTATTCCCTTCTCTTCTCCTCCACTTCCTTCCTCTCTCCTCTATTCCCTTCTCTTCTCCTCCACTTCCTTCCTCTCTCCTCTCCCTCAATCTTCTCCTCACTTCCCACCTTTCTCCTCTGCTTTCTTCCTCTCTTCATCCCTCAATACCACCTCTCTCTGCAACCCTCTCCTCCCCAACCCTTCCCATCCCTCTCCTCCTATTCACTCCCACTCCCCACCTCTCTCTCCTCTACTTTCCTTCTCCTCTCCTTCCCATCCCACCACTCTCCTCTTCCTCCCTATCTCCTCCATTCATTCACGTCCCTGTTCCTCTTCCCCTCACATCACAGCCACAGATCAGCAGTACTGCTGCCCAGGACCCACCTTAGGAGCTGACTAGCAGTTTTCATCTCATGTAAAAGGCGAGACGTTGGCTCAGGTGTTCGTCTCTCTCATTGCATTGTGCAAACTTCGTCTGCCATGTTTACATGTTATTTTCACCGTCTGCCAAGTTCCTCTTTGCTAAATAAATATGTAGGTTTATTTGGCCATAGATACACGTAAATCCAGTTACGGAAATTATCATGCATTGTAATGTAGATGTAAATTAAATTGGGTAAGCTCAAATAAATGTCGAAGTGGCTTATTTCCATTGGGATCTTTGAGTTGTTTCCATTGGGCAAGTTTCTCTTGCTTAAGTATGTAAGTAAGTTTATATAAGTACAGGTACATATAAGTACAATTACAGAAATTATCTTAATTATTAACATATATACGTTAACCAGGATAACCCAAAAAAGTCAAAGTGGCTTATTTCCATTGGGATTCTCGAGTTATTTCCATTGGGCAAGTTCCTCTTGGTAGGGAAATATTTAAGTTTATTTAGGTACAGATACACACAAATAGTTATATAAATTATCATACATAGTAACGTATGTGTAGATTACCCAGGATAACCCACAAAAAAAGCCAAAATGACTTATTTCCATTGAAGGTAAGTAAGTTAGTAAGCTTATTCAGGTAAGAGTATACATAAATATAGTTAATTAAACAAATTATCATACGTTGTAAAATGTGTACCTAGGTTAACACAAAGAAAAGGTCAAATTGACTTAATTCCTTTAGGGTAAGTTACAGGTACACATAAATACAGCTACATAAATTATCATACATAGTAACGTATGTGTAAATTACCTAGGATAACTGCCCGCCCCCCCCTCAAAAAAAGTTCAAGTGACTTATTTCCATCTCTACAATGTAATTTTTCGTCGTAAAATCGAGATTATTAAAGCCCTTGTCATACTTTAAATAATATTAACAATGTTTTGTCAACTCTTAAGACATTGTATTTAAAAATGCATATATTTAATTTGCAAATGTGTATTTCCCAAATACATTAACTCGGTGAATGTACCGTATTTACATTATATAGGAAAGTGTAACTGCCATGTATTCATAATATTTAATCAGAATAATAGATATGAATGGATATAGAAGGGAGAGAGAGAGAGAGAGAGAGAGAGAGAGAGAGAGAGAGAGAGAGAGAGAGAGAGAGAGAGAGAGAGAGAGAGAGAGAGAGAGAGAGAGAGAGAGAGAGAGAGAGAGAGAGAGAGAGAGAGAGAGAGAGAGAGAGAGAGAGAGAGAGAGAGAGAGAGAGAGAGAGAGAGAGAGAGAGGATAATAGTTGCCAGTTATTTTCACAGTGAGGGCCATTCTTGGCTGTCCTGTGAGAGACGTCACTCAGGTATATTATGGTAGAGAAATTTGGCCACGCCAGTGTGAAGATGTCCTCATATGTGAGGTTCTCACGGGCTGTTATCATTACTTTCAAAACAAGAGCTGAATTTACCCTACCCAGTAAATGAATGTCATTTTATTCATGTACCTATACCATCTGTGGCCTCTTTAGATATTTGTAAAAACATTTTTTGGGGGGTTTAATGGGATTTAAAGTCTATTGACTGCACTAGGGCCATTTAAAGCTGCTTGTAACTTTTTCACCAGAACAAGAACACTTCAGTCTCTAAAATGGGGAGTTTAGCGCTTCCCCTTTGATTATAATAATAATAATAATCTAAAATGGGGATAAAAGTAAATTCTTACGTATATACTCCTTCATTAAGTGGATGGGACCTGACCTGACTAGGTCGGTCATTGGTTTAAGCCGCGAGGTGACTTGGACCTGCCTCGCATGGGCCAGTAGGCCTGCTGCAGTGTTCATTCTTTCTTATGTTCTTATATACGCGGAAATACGCCTCTTTAATTAAACTCTTTTAGGCACAGGTACACGTAAGTAGAATTATCTAGGATAACTCCGAAAGCCAAAGTCACTTATTTCCATTAGGGTCCTATTATCCTATATTATATATATATATATATATATATATATATATATATATATATATATAATATATATATATATATATATTTATATATATATATATGTCCAAATCTAAATTAAAACTTACTAAATATATCAGTGTCCGGAAATCTTTACTCGTATATAATAGGTTTATCGCATTATTGCATCTAACATTATTAATATAATAAAGTCCAACTGTATCTATGCCGGGTCAGGTTAAATAAAGTGAATACAATTTGTGGGAAGTTTTCCATGTTTAAGTATTAATTATAAGGCTAGCTAAGTGAAACGTGAATTATACAAGAAGTGTGAGCTGGACGGTCCAAACCTCTTACTATAGTAGCCAGTTGTTAGCAGCAGCAACAGCAGCAGTATCAGCAGCAGCAACATTGTCGTCAGCAGCAACAGTGTCAGCAGCAGCAAGTGTCAGCAGCAACAGTGTCAGCTACTGCTGATGAAAATTATACTTGATTTATGATGATTATATTTGATGATAATCCAATAAAGTCACTGCGACATCTTTCTAGTGGAGTCCTCTGATTTTTTCCCCCCTCAGCTCAGTGTTGTCTGCTGAGTGAAAATCTGAGACTGGTGTTAAATATATTGTATAAGCTTGTTATATGATATTGACCAGTAGGGGGTAAAAATGTATTAGCAAATACTAAATTATTATTACATTTAAGGGAAAGCTCTTAATCCTCAAGGGTCATATAGAGCCTGGTGAAATGGGAAGCATTCAGGTTGGATCCCAGGAAGAGGGCAATCCTAATTCCTTGGATGAGGCACTGCCTTGGGAAACCCACATGAAGGGCCCTGAAAATCATGCTCCTCACCACACTGGGGAGATGATTCGCTAGTCAGTAAAACAATTGCTTTATTAATGAAATTGATTAATTTCCTTATTTTGTTTGGTAATATCACCTTACCTCATTATAATTATCCCCTCAAGGAAGGTTCCTTGATGTTGGTGAGGGGCTCTTGATTTAGGGAATTGGATCTGTGCTCCAGTTCCTCGAATTAAGCCTGAATGCCTTCCACATCCCCCCCCCCCAGGCGCTGTATAATCCTCCGGGTTTAGCGCTTCCCCCTTGATTATAATAATAATAAATTATAATTATAATCATAACCAGGTGCTAAACCGACAAGGGTTTTACAGCACTGTTATCTTATCCTTATTATGTTCCATTCATGAAATTAATAAATCAATAAAACAAGTGAAGTCTTCCTCACTCATTACTTGCATAATGTGTTTTAGTATTATATTAAGGAAAAAGCTAAACTCATAGGGGTCATATAGCACCTCAAGCATGGAAGGCATTCAGGTCTGAGTCAAAGTAGGGGAGGACAGGTTCAGTTACTTGAATCAAAAGCCATTCAATGGTATCAAGGAACCTCTCTTGAAGGGCAAAAAATGCCTCAAGTCTAAACAAAACAAAAGTAATTCAATGATGTTATTCTGTATTACTCTTTATTAAAGACTAATGCAAATGATTAGTTAGATATACATGTATATCAATACATTTTCTATTTTCAAACAGTATTTGCATTAAAATTTATCAATTGCTAATGAGAGCTCATGGAAAATTAAAAAAAAAAATGTTAATGTACAACTTCTTAACATTTACGCAAATTTTATTTTTTTAAAAGAAAAGTAGATGACATTTGTTGTTAATATTCAATTAATACAAAAAAAAAAAAAAACTCAAGTCATATACATGTAGTTAGGTATATGTGCAAACCAAAGCTTCTTATTTTTTTATTATAAATTCCCCTACAATATACTTTACATATTATGAAAGCTGACTGGTAAAGACAAGTGGTGAAAAGCAAATCTACTTTCAATAAAGAAAATGCTGCATATTGTGAATGTCTTATACAGTATATTTTACAATACAAGTTTTCTCAAGTACTTTACAATATAACAAAATGCTAACAATTACATTATTATTATAATCAGGGAAAGCACTAAACCCATACAAGTCAGACAGCACCTGAGGAATGACTAGTGGAGCACTGCTGTAGGCCTACAAGCAAAGTAGGTCTTGCTCACAATGTAAAAAAAGGTTCCACCCTACTAGGAGTATTTACACAATGTTTCACACTTGTTGCTACTGACTCTTTTTATTAAATTGTTGGACACACTAGTAAAATGAACTCATTGCAAGTGTTGAAATGTGCCTGCCTCCAACTCTAACAGGTCTCCAATATATCCAGTTAAAAAATAAAACTTGTGTTGCTTCTAATGTAACTGAAATTGAATTACAAGTATTTTCACAATGGTGAGATGGAAATAAGGTGAGAGAACTTGATCCTTCTCCCTGTACAAGTACAACATTAGCAAACTCTGTTAAAGGTAAATGATAGGAATGAGAGTCTGGACCATCTGTAAACAAAAACCGATAAAGAGCAACTTCTGTTTCTGATGGTATGAAATAAAGTCTGGGAAAGATTTGCCGAACAATATGTAACGTTTCGAGCTTGTTAATTTTCCACTCAATGTGAATATCACTACTAATTGCTTCTCTCTTCACAATCTGTTGTAAATAATTTGCATTAACTTCTGACTTGGAAAAAACTTTCAAAGCACCAAGTTCAGCTTCTTGATTAATATCTATTTTTTCAGCTAAATCCATCCAGGACGTTTCATGAAGCACAGCATCAGTTACAATCAATACCTGTCCATTATTATAGTATACATCAGTAAAATTGCTCAGATCCGAGACTTTTACAAGTTGCAAATTTTCACTACAGGACGTGCAATTAATGTTCAGTTGGTCGAAGAAAGTATTGGCCACCAAGCACTCCTCAGAGTACCATTGAGTCAAGTAGGGGTACTTGGCGAGGAGAGGCAAGGCTATATATCTCAACATAGTCATTACTGGGTAGATCATATCTTGAATATTACGAGTCACAAATTTTCTCGTTGGGTTGTGAAGGGAAATAACGAGAAAAATTACGGTGCAGAGAAGAGCAAAACAGACAATGAATTTGGTGGCCATTTTTAGGTAAGAGCCGACCTTCCATAATCCTCTCTTCTTTCCACCGTTATTATCCTTCAGGTTTTGGCTGTTAGCTCTTATGGCTTCCTTCTCCCTCTCTTCTCTGAACACTGAGGTGAACACATTGTCAATATCGGTGCAGGTGAGGCCCAGCTCCTCTCCCGCCCTCCATATCTCCTCGATGCGCTCTCTCAAACATAACTTCTCGGTCATCACAGTACACTGATAGATCAGGTGATTCTGATCACTGACAGATGATCTGTAGAAGTTTGTGGTGGAAATTTAACTTTTTTGTTGTTGCCTCAGAGTTAGAGAGTAACAGCAGCGACACCTGAGCCCAAACAGGTTTGTTATTGTCTTTAAAAACGGGTTGTGAGGGGAATATTTATTTTTAATACATTTTAACGTAATTCGGCTTACGTGAAGTTTCGTTCTTAAACTTAACTTTATATTCATATTTTAATAAATAATGTAATACAGCCTTATAAAATTCTAAAAGTAAGGCATTCAAGAGATATTTTCTCCATTATATCTTACAGGAATAAGCCATTTATATATGACATTCATGGTAAAGAGCTAAACCTTTTGGGGTCATACAGTCCCTCGGAAAAAAGAAACAATCAGGACTAATCCAAGCAATTGATGGGAGCTCCAGTTCTTTGGACTAAAAGCTCTTCACTAGTATCAAGGCACAATTTATAAATAAAATAAAAATATTTAGTTAGCTTAATTGTCTGAGTCTGTCCTGAGCGTCAGTGACATTGCTCTCCCTAGTTTGCATATGCATATATACGATTTATTTTAAATAAAACTACAAAATGTTAACGAAATGACGTCATTTTAGGGAAAACTTTATTATAATGGTTTACCTTGGCACATACTTTTTTGTTAAAGAAAATGGTTCCACTGAAAGCTTATTTTTACGATTAACTTCTCTATTTTGACGAGATGCAGATTACTTTTTCAGTTAACACTTGAAGGGAGGTAGGTCACGGTTTGACGCTGATCCATGGAATTGGCTCGAATCTTTACTTCCTTGGCCCTTCAAGAGAGGTTCCTTGACGCTGGCTAGGGAATTGGATCTGTGCTCTGGTTCTTCCATCCCCCCACATGTGTTGTATAATCCTACGGGTTTAGCTCTTCCATGTGATTATAATAATAATAATAAATAATAATAATAATAATAATAATACTTTACTTTTCAGGGTCAAACCACATTGTCTTGCTGACACATTAAATCTTAATAATACGATTTCAAGCAAACCTCAGAACGGGCAGGGCCGGCTTGGTTGGCAACGCTCTCGCCTCACACACTGAGTGTCCGTGGTTCGATTCCTGACAAGGGAGGCTGGGAATGTTTCCTTACACCTGCTGTCCCTCTTCACTTAGCTGTAAGTAGGTACCTGGGTGTTAGTTGACTGGTGTGGGTTGCAGGATTGCGTGGGCCCTCTGCGTGTGGAGCTCTCGCGGGTTCGATTCCCGGCGGAGTGGAAAGATTTCGACGCGTTTCCTTACACCTGTTATCCTGTTCACCTAGCAGCGAATAGGTACCTGGGTGTTAGTCAACTGGCGTGAGTTGCATCCTGGAGGACAAGATTGAGGACCCCAATGGAAATAAGACAGACAGTCGTCCTCGATGACGCACTGACTTTCTTGGGTTAGCCAGGGTGGCTAACCATCCTGGTTAAAAATTCAAAATCTTCAAACTCGCGTTCTCTGATTGGATTGCTTTCTATTTCCCTAGTGCTTCGTGACTCGTGTAAGTACAGCGTCTCAAAATATAATATTATTATTATTATAATCAAAAAGAAGCGCTAAGCCACAAGGGCTATACAGCTCAAAATATAATAATAATTCAGATTATTAACACTGAATACAGTCTCTGGACTCATGAGCGCTGTATAGCCCTTGTGGCTTAGCGCTTCTTTTTGATTATAATAATAATAATCTGGACTCATGTGAAGTCCTTGTTGCTGGTGAAGGACTCTGTGTTTAGTGCTTCCCTGTGAATACAACAGCAACAACAATAAAACAACAGTAACATTAACAATAATAATAATAATAATAATTTACCCCTGAGTATAAAAAAACAATAGTATAAGTTTGAAGTGTCATCTCTCAGTTTAACAGCTTACAATCTGAGCGTCTCTAACTCGTAGAAAAAAGAAGAGAGGCGCTTATTAATGAACAAACCACAGAAGCCTCTCTCACTCCTAGGAAAGCGAGAGACACTTGTTGGTAAGTGAACTGCAAGAGAATAGATTGAATGGATGGCCAGGGATCGATCATTCACCTTGCTCTCTTACGCTCCCTAAAAAAAAATGGAAATATCAGCATGTCTCTCTTGAATGAGCTTCAGACCCATGTGTGAAAATTACTCCCCGACCGTCGATTTCCATGGCCACTTCATCAATGGCCCTACGTGGCCCGTTGCCTGTGGTCACACACCAGACATGTTAAAACACTCGCCCTACTTTATTTCTGATCACCGCCAGGGCCTCCAGGAGGAAGGGGAACAAGAGAGAGGTGAGCTGGAGGGGCTGATAACCTCCCCAAGGGGCTCCTTGAATGCAGTCGACCCGCCATGAAGACCCCAAGATAAATTCAAGACAAATGGCCTCTCGATGAATTGCAAGTTTATGGGGCTGAGGGATCATTTCGTTCCAGAGCGCCAACCAACCAAGTAGTGTTCAATATTTAATACTTTTTTTCCCCTCTTGTTCTTCCTGCCTCTTCCCACCTACAGGCAAGTCCTCCTATTCGCTGCAAGACTGGCGACGGGCTACCAGCGACCTCTTTTCTCGCTTGGCCATTCAACGTCTGCTGTTTGTCCTCTCACGCAAGTTCGCGTTTGCTCAGCGGGCGGCACAATTCTCAACAGAGGTGCCAGATGAAGAGATTCTTCAAAGGTGTACTGAGCACACAGTTACACTTTCTCTCCAGATTATTTTAAACACCCGCAGGCGGTGATGATGGTGGCGGTGGCGGAAGACAGGAACCTCAGTCTGATGAATAGGAAAAAATATATATTGACATCTTGCCAGACCGGTGACTACGTTCTTTTGATCATTTGTGTTCTACGTTCTGGACGGTGCGAGGATCTGTACACCGCAGGGGATCATCACACACACACTTGGTATGTCTTCAGTGTCCTATTTTAGGTTCGTCATGCACTACTGTTGAAACAGTCATCTACCCGCGTCTATTATGCGCCCTTGTCGAAATAGTTCTCGGCCCACGCTTGTCATGCACTCCTGTCAAAACAGTGCTTAACCCATGCTTATCATGCGTCCCTATTGAAACATAGTCCTTGACCCACGCTTGCAAGTCTGGCAGCTATTTACACACTTTTTCTTGTCAGCAGCACAAGAAAAATAAAATACGAATTCCTACAGAGAGCGACAAACAGGACGTCGTCATCAATCTCTTTCTTGGCTGGGTTCTGACGTTACTTCCAGCTACCAAGAGAAGCATTGGCCACCATTGCCTCACAAGACACCATCACCACACTCCGGCTACTCTCTTAATTCATGTTAAAATAAATGGAAAAATATGAGATTGAAATTCAACTTTCTAATAATTAGGACCCAAAGAGTAATAGTCAACTAATATATGTCAGAGGTTTCTATTACGTAAATCTCAGTTCCTCTAGGCTGCATTAATAATAATAATATTTCATTTACTACAAGTACATGTACGTACATTCAGGCCTAGCTGACATCAATGACATACTACTATAGAGAAAAAACGCTTGTTACGCAGAGCATTTCGGGCAAATTAGGTTAGTTTTGTCCCAGAATGCGACCCACACCAGTCCACTAACACCCAGGTACCCATTTTACTGATGGGTGAACATAGACAACCAGTATAAAGAAACTAGCTGGGAATCGAACCCAGACCCTCGCTGTGTGAAGCGAGAGCTTTAGCCACCAGTCCACGGGGCACCACAGGCCACGGAGCCTGTTCTTATTTTCATTCTTATATTTACCATAAATAAAACAAAAATTTTGAACGATGCTATATTATGATCATAGCAGACTATATTAGAACAAACATTTATACAAGCAATAAAGATCATTCGAGGACGTACAAAAAAATATTCTTTAGTCCATGTAAACCACCTCTTCCAGTACGCCACTGGAGACAAAAATGAGGTTCAATGAGGACAAATTCCAGCTACTCTGCTATGGAAAAAAATTAAGTAGTAAAAATTACAACACAGTATATACAATCAAACAACTCGTTAGACAAGAAGAGAAAGAAGAGACCCGGGGGTAACAATACCAGATCATACGTTTAAGAAACACAAAAATACGTCTGCAACAACTGCCATGGGATATTCTTACCTGGATTACAATAGCCTTAAAGAATGCAAAGCTAGAGAACATATTATTATTATTATTATAATCAAGGGAGAAGCGCTAAACCCGGTGGATTATACAGCGCCTGGGGGGGGGATGTGGAAGGCATTCAGGCTTAATTCGGGGAACTGGAGCACAGATTCAATTCCCTAAATCAAGAGCCCCTCACCAACATCAAGGAACCTTCCTTGAGGGGTCTAGAGAACATAATATTTGAAAATGTTGTACTGAAATATTGTTATAGTCTGACATCCCTCTGTAAAGCAGGTGATGTTGACCAGTTAGAAAATGCGAAGGTTACTGTCGATGTCAAAATTTTGTACAGGTTATATTTACTTCTTTCTTGAACAAATAACGTTTTTTTAGATAAAAGCTGAAATATGATAAAACATTAGGGCTTATAAATAATAATAATAAACTAATAATTATTATTTTTATTATTATTATTCCTGGGGAGACGCTGTACCAGTAAATATGCACTAATTGGAAAATGGAAGGTTATCAGGTTTGAACCTGGATGATGGTAGATCAAAATCCTTGGATCAAAAGCTAGTCATAGCATTAAAGCACTTTTCTTCAGGAAGAAGAGAAGAGAAGAGGAAAAAATGGAAAAGAGAAACTAAAATCAGAGGACAAGTAGTAAGAAAGGAAGAAGGGAGAAAGAGAGAGGGAAAAGGGAGAAAGAGGATAAAAATAAAAAGGAAGAAGGAAAAAGGGAAGAGACGAGGAAAATGGGAGAGAGGAAGAGGGAAGAAGTGGAGAGAGGGAAGAAGGGGAGAGACTGTGATAAATGTTACTGAGAGATTGATTACTGGCAAGACCAACGTCTCTCCCACCCGTCCGTCCTGGACTCCATGCATATTTGCATAAAATACAACCTCCCCCCCCCCCCGCCGATAAAGGGAGGGGGGTTGATCGTGGTGGAGGTGGTGGGAGGGTTGTTGTAGTTGTTGTTGTTGGTGGTAGAAGGTTGTTGCTAGATATAAATGCGTAAATATATTATATATTATCATATATATATTATATATTATTATATATTTCAAAACATATATTCCTTGAAGTTTTTCCAAGAATTTTTAGGAAGTTCAGTTTTTCTCTAAATTTAAAATTTTTGGTGCGGTTAATAAAGAGATAAAAAAAAGGCATATATATTTAATACAGGAACCATTGGTGCTGTAGGAAAGCAAGGAGATGGAGGGAGAGAGGGAGAAATGGAGGGAGGGAGAGAGAATGGGAAGGGAGGGAGGTTTTGGCAGCGTCAGGACAAGATGGATCCCAGCTGGATCAACTGGGCGTGAGCTCACATCCATCACACCCTGGCACTGCCCACACCCAGACTCTTAGGTGCCATCACCCAGACTCCTAGGTGCCATCGTCCAAGCTCGTCGGTGTCATCACTCAGACTCCTAGGTGCCATCATCCAAGCTCGGTACCATCACTCAAAATCCTAGGAGCCATTACCCGGACTTCTAGATGCTATCACTCAAGTTTCTAGGTGCAATCACCCAGGTTCTTAGGTGCAATCACCCAGGTCTTAGGTGCAATCACCTAAGCTGCTAGGTGCCATTACACTTACCCCTTTATGCTATCACATAGGCTACAAGGTGTTATTATCTTATCCCCCAGATGCCATCGTCCACGCTCCTAGGTGCCACGACCCAGGCTCCTATGCGCCTCAGCCCTGCTCCTAGGTGCCATGACCTAGCCTCAGAGACATTTGGAAGTGATTTTTCAGTGGGAGGGCAGTGACTGGATCTACCTAAATGAGGTGATGAAGGCCATCTTTATACACAGTTTCAAGAGCAGGTACACACACACGGACACACATCCCTCTCACTCACCACGCACACAAAGACTCACACCAGGTCAAGTGTCTATCGACAAGTGCCTCTGGCAACTGGTAACTAACTACTATTACTACTACTACTACTACAACCAAAACACACACACACACACACACACACACACGAGTTTCACCGAAGTCATCCTGATTATCAGTTAATATATAAATATAACAGCCTTATAATTTTTAGAACTTTCTCCTCAGTCGATTTAGTAGTTAGTACTCTGGCCTAAGAACCGGAGCTCAATTCCTCACACTGTTTTTTTTCCTGACGAGTACAACACCAAGATCTTCTCTATCCACTTCATTATCAGATCCCGCGCCCAATCATGGGACAGTGTGGGTAGAATCTTAAAAAAAAAGAGACCACAAGAATCCTCACCAGGTCCTCAGTACTCACGAGAGAGGAATAAAAATTTACAATGGAGAGAAAGATGGTAAAGGGGAAAAAAAAAAAAGTTTTTGGGCCACCTTTTTCGGAGTTGTGGCTGAAACGTGTGTACTGTGTTGATTATTATAATTAAGGGGATGCGCTAAACCCGTAGGATTATACAGCGCCTTGGGGGGCGGATGTGGAAGGCATTCAGGCTTAATTCGGGGAACTGGAGCACAGATCCAATTCCCTAAATCAAGAGCCCCTCACCAACATCAAGGAACCTTCCCTGAGGGGTACTGTGTTGAAGAAGGTGGGTGGGACGCCTCGGTGTCTGGGTGGAGAGAGAGAGAGAGAGAGAGATAACACAGAAATTCAGCAGATAAAATTTGCAAATTAAAGCATGCGGATCGCACTTATATTCTAAACACATTTTTAAAGAAGACACGTCAGTGATAAAAGTTTGAAGCCGAGCGGAAGAGGCATGCTCAACTTACCGTAGGGATCCCAGTGAATCCAAGTTCTGAAACTATATTACTTTATCAGCAACTTTGTATCTACACGGCCCTCATGGAAGGTTCCTTGATGTTGGTGAGGAGCTCTTGATTTAGGGAATTGGATCTGTGCTCCAGTTCCCCGAATTAAGCCTGAATGCCTTCCACATCCCCCCTCCCCTGGGCGCTGTACAATCCTACGGGTTTAGCGCTTCCCCCTTGATTATAATAATAATGTATCTACACGGCCTAAACTTAAAAAGTAATATATATTTTTTACAAGCAGCGTCAGCCATTAACAATTAAAGCCATATAGATAAGGCCTACTCAAGATATTTGAAGAAAAATAATATACCATTTTAATAATAAAATTAGCAATTTGACACACAAATACTTTATCAAATCCACTTTTTTTTTTCTTAACAGGGTACGCCAATGCTGAAAGTTTGAAGACGATCATACGAGGCATTCTCAAGTTTACCTAAGAAAAGCATGAATCTTAACCTATTTACAGTACCTGGAGTCTCTTCCAGAGGTCACCGCCTCCGCGGCCCTGTCCCAGACAAGGCCTCCTGATTGCTAGCCTGATCGATCAACCTGTCAGTGCCCGAAACCCGCAGTCCAGCATATGCACCACAACCTGGTTGATCATGAGTTGTTTTGGGGAATCGATCGAGTTCCCTCTTGAAGACAAGTGTTTGTTGGTGATCCTCCTTATGCATGGAGGGTGTTGAAGAGTCGTGGTCCCTTAAAACTTATTGAATTCTCTCTCAGTGTACTCACCAGTAAAGTTTAATATATAAAGCCGATCGAGTGAGGCGTTTTCTAGTTATAAACAAACACCTTAAAAAATCGACAGCTTTATAATGGCACACCTTTGACAGGATATAATAATTTTCCCTTCAAATAAATGATTTCAACTTTAGTATTAAATTTGAATCCACATTAACAAAATGGCTGTTATTTAAGTGCACACATTAATAATAATTTAAGACACTTGTTAACTTAAAAAGTTGATAGTAACTTGACATGAATTATTTTAGGGTTTTCCTGGGTAATTTACACATAGATTTCTATGATAATTATTTAACTGTATTTATGTGTACCTGTACCTAAATAAACTTACTTTCGAAAATAGAGAAGTGATTTAATCTCATGGGTATATGGTGAGATGTGGCAATGTGTGGGTATGAGAGGGGTCAGAGGCTGGGTACCGGGCAGACATGTCGTGGCTGTCGCCCGGGCATCATCTCCGTCGTTCTCTCAGCCTTCTCAGCCTCCTCCTGCTCTTCCTAGCTGCTGGTAAGCCGATCTTACACTCTCGTGCATGGTGTTCAGTCTTGCCATGTGGCTCTTTGTTTTCATTGGGGTTTAAGGAAGGTTTTAAATGACTCTTACACTTTTAAGTGAGTGTTAACTCAGATTTCGGAAGTCAAATGCGGGTGTTTGGAAATGTTTGTGTAAGTCAATCATCCAACTAAATGTGTGTGTGTGTGTGTGTGTGTGTGTGTGTGTGTGTGTGTGTGTGTGTGTGTATGTGTGTGTGTGTGTGTGTGTGTGTGTGTGTGTGTGTGCGCGTTCATGTGAATAAGATTTGCATAATGATTATATTCGTAAAGTTTGTGGATTGTATTTCATGGTTTCCAGAGGGTATTTAATGGGCTAGCTCAGTGTTTATAGTATTAGATCATTGTCATAATTGTTACATCATTATTATGTGGTGTTAGATACGTGTTATATGCAGTTAAATCATTTATAAGACGCTAGATCATTGTTACAAGAAGCTGAATTTCACGTGTGGGGATAAATCTTATTAACAGAAATTAGCGCAATTCTCTCTCTCCCTTAATATATATATATATATATATATATATATATATATATATATATATATATATATATATATATATATAATGCTGAATAGGTAAAACTTGCGATTTTGGCTTAAATAGTAACGCTCTTCTTGCCGAATAAGGCAAACGAAAATTTGTGTATGCAATAATGTCGCAAAAATCATTCTGAAATTAACGAAAAAAATATATTTCGTTGTTTTTGTTTATTATTAAATTATTGTAAACTTATCTAAAATATATTTAGTTTGATTAGGCCAAATTAAATTGCAATTTTTGTAATAAGGTTGGGTAAGTTTTCTGAGGTTCTTTTGGCACAAAATTATCAATTTTTACATTAATATTTCATTAACGAAGAATGGTCTCAGACCGGGCCGCGGGGGCGTTGACCCCGAAACCCTCTCCAGGTATACTCCAGGTAACATAAATGAAAAAAAAAATGTCTTTAAACGTATGAGAAAATTTTAGAAAGAACTTAATTTTAAACGAGTTCTTGCTAAGTGACCAGTTTTACCAATGTATGTGTAATTATTATTATGTTTATGGGAAAACGGGAAACCAGTAAGGAATTATGGGCCACAATCGGGTTCGATCCGAAAGAGAAGAGGATTGTCCTATATGTTCTTGATCAAGAGGCCTTCAAGCCAGAGGTGCTACCATAACCGGGTCTGGGACCACACTTAGGCCAGAGGAGCTACCATGACCGGGTCTTGGACCACACTGAAGCCATAGGTGCTTCTATAACCGGGTCTGGGACCACACTTAGGCCAGAAGTGCTGCCATGACCGGGTCTGGGACCACACAGAGGTCAAAGGTGCTACCATGACCGGGTCTGGAACCACACAGAGGCCTGAGGTGCTACCATGACCAGGTCTGGAACAACACAGAGGCCTGAGGCGCTACCATGACCGGGTCTGGAACCACACTGAGGCCTGAGGTGCTACCATGACCAGGTCTGGAACAACACAGAGCCCTGAGGGCTACCATGACCGGGTCTGGAACCACACTGAGGCCTGAGGCGCTACCATGACCAGGTCTGGAACAACACAAAGGCCTGAGGCGCTACCATGACCGGGTCTGGAACCACACAGGCCTGAGGCGCTACCATGACCAGGTCTGGAACAACACAGAGGCCTGAAGTGCTACCATGACCGGGTCTGGAACCACACAGGCCTGAGGCGCTACCATGACCAGGTCTGGAACAACACAAAGGCCTGAGGCGCTACCATGACCGGGTCTGGAACCACACAGGCCTGAGGCGCTACCATGACCAGGTCTGAAACAACACAGAGGCCTGAAGTGCTACCATGACCGGGTCTGGAACCACACAGGCCTGAGGCGCTACCATGACCAGGTCTGGAACAACACAGAGGCCTGAAGTGCTACCATGACCGGGTCTGGAACCACACTGAGGCCAGCTGTCGCACAGTGAACACACTGGCAACTCAATATTATTTTTATTGCAGCTAGTGGGAAGCGTTAAACCCATAAGGGTCACACAGCCCTTGGAGAGAAGCAGGGGCATCAAATTCTGCCCAAGGAAGGGGACGACATGTTCAGTTCCTTGGATCAAGAGCTCCCTTTAATAATTATCAAAACACCCTCGAGGGGAAATCAACATTATCCCCTCATATTCTCTAATCATCCACTTACCCTTAATAACTAACCAATTACATTTTAAAAACTAAAGCAATTTATTAATCGATTTATAATCTAAAATACAGTCCATAACAAAGAAATGTATATATATATATATAATATATATATATATATATATATATATATATATATATATATATATATATATATATATATATTATATATATAATTGACGAGTCATGTGGCAACACCATTAAGTAGTCAAGTATAATTCAAAATGGCGCCGCCTCGCCCGTACAAGCTCGTCAGGTAGGCTGTTTTGTCGATTTCTTGCTTCGTTTGTTGTGATGGAAGAAGCTGTTAGCCATGAAATATGCAATAACGACAGAGATGATTAGAAAACATGAGAAATATAGTCAGTGAAGCGGGGAATATTGAAAGGTGAGGTGGATGAGGGCCAGCCGTCTTGCAAGACCCTTGTTGACACTGGTGTGGGCTAGCCTTCTTGCAAGACGCCTGATGACACTGGTGTGGGCTAGCCTTCTTGCAAGACGCCTGATGACACTGGTGTGGGCTAGCTTTCTTGCAAGACGCCTGATGACTGATGTGGGCTAGGCTTCTTGCAAGACGCCTGATGACACTGGTGTGGGCTAACCTTCTTGCAAGACGCTTGTTGACACTGGTGTGGGCTAGCCTTCTTGCAAGACGCTTGTTGACACTAATGTGGGCTAGCCTTCTTGCAAGACGCCTGATGACACTGGTGTGGGCTAGCCTTCTTGAAAGACTCTTGTTGACACTCTGGTATGAGCTTAGTGAGGGCCAGCCTTCTTGCAAGATGTTTGCTGGCGCTTGTCTTTATCCAAGGAATTGAAGATGATCTCTCGTTTGATGAGATATGATCCGTGACCTATGCGCTACATGACCCCTATAGGTTTAGCGCCTTTTAATAAATATAATAATTTTATAATAATAATAATAATAATAATAATAATAATAATAATAATAATAATAAATGCATAGAGATAGCACTTGTCATGAGAGACAGGATTCTTATTTTTATAAATTTATCAAATGCAAAGGACCAGGTAGTAAGGTGGCGTGTAACTCCACCTGAGACCCTCTTCAGCAGACCTGGGGAGAGACCATGTATTGATAGGGGGTACAAGAAAGTGTGTACCTGAGGCAGGTGAGGTGCTTTACCAGGGTTTAAGTTTAAGGTGCTTAAAAATTGTCTTGCATAAGCAGCATCTGTGGTGCTTGATCTTAGTTAACAGTAAGGTGCTTAGGAATCTTCATGTGCTGGTAGTTGGGAAGACGCTCCACCTGAAACAAAATCCAGAGAATTTGTTTCAGGTGAGGTGATGGAAAATAATGCTTGAGAGCATATTGTGAAACTCCGTCTGGTCTCCACTGGCTCAGGGAAACATTAGGATTAAGAATTGAGTCAATTAGCCTTGATTCTATAATTTTACCTTCCTAGGTGTATCTTGTTTTATGTGTGGTGGTGGTGGCTCAGTTCCATACGATAATGTGTATTTTTTATGAGTTGAATTACATCCGATTTTCTTGTGCATATCTGACGTTTCTTTTGAGTTCGACGAATCGTGTTTACGGAAGTCTTCCTGTCTGGTCACAGTCGTTGCAGAGAATTTGGCAGACCCATGGGATGTATGAGGACACTGAATGCGTGTGTTTTGTGGAGAAGTTTTTACTGAAGAACAACCAGGAAATCTACGAACACTTTCAACTGACCAACAAACATACCCTTGTTAACAAAATTAAAAAAAGAAAAATAGAAATAAAAATTCAGTATCTGTTATATATTAAATCTTAGTTTATACCACTCTCAAACTAACAGGAAGTCGAGTACTGGACTACATAACTTATTTTAATAAATCCTTAATCAGAAGACAGCTTTAACGAAGACCTATTATGTATAAAACGCTTTCTACTGAAAGGTGTTAATGAATGCTTCGAGAGCAGCGACAGATTACCACTACACTGTAACAAAGCCCTAGAAGTGGATTGAACCCATGACAGGTGAGTTCTAAAACTCACAGGCCAGTACGTTAACCACTAGACCAGCTGGCTCTAATAAGATTCATCCAACTAGGTACATTTCTATGCACCATCGGGTGATTAGCATGGGCCCTAACCGTTCAGTGATTTGTTTGCAGTTGTTATTACGATTTCGCGAGTTTATAACATATTCATTGTGAAGTCTGATAAAATAGGAAAAGTTACTATTATGACTAAAGAAGGATGACTCACCAAAGCTTAATGATAGTAACATAAACAAAAAGACGAAATCACTACGATCAATATCACATTCAGCAAAAAAAAGACCGGAACATTGCCAGAAACAAAAACGATAAAATACTCAAAAAAAAAAAAAAAATTAGAATCACCAACTTCCCTTCTATAAAATTCCTGAAGCCCAAACCAAAAATACCTCCAGCGAGGGATAGTTCTCCTGCAGTCTAGCGATAAGGTTAAACTTCTTTCAATCAACGTTTTTGGGTATATTTTCAGAATCACACCTGACTCATATTGCATATTGAAGACTTCATTCCCAAGTTCAAGAAAATCAGCCTACACCACAAAAGAGCGCTGGATCTAGATGTCGACTCATTATTTATCAAGGTTCCAATTGAAGACATCCTGAATTTTTACCAAAGACAAACTACTTTCTAAATTCAATTCCGCCAACCAGTAACCAAAATCACCGAAATCTTGATCACGCGTCACCATTAGCGTTTTTTTTTTTAATTTAGCAATAAATTTTACAAACAAATTTGGATGCAGTATGCTAGGCACTTTATCGTCAGTGCTTTCCAACCTCAAGGTAGAGTT